GCATCTTAGTGTCAATAAGGATGCTCAAGCGACTTTTTCCCGCGATCAGCATGATACCGTATTTGCTAAGCGACGCTTTGGTTTCAAAGGATGACGTATGAATTTCCTATTGTGGGAAACCTATTCCTCGGCCAACCAAAAAAGAAGCGTAATTCAATAAGACTTTAAACTTGTTAACTAGTGCAAATTTAATGCCGTTGAAAAAAATGTGATAGAGAACAGAATCTCGTCTAATAAAGTAAATTGTGACATGATATCTACTTCGCAATCAGGAATGTGAATAGAGAAAAAATAGAGAACAGAATCTCGATGTGATAGAGAACAGAATCTCGTCTAATGAAGTAAATTGTGACATGATATCTACTTCGCAAAACCAAATATTTGAAGAAAACAACATTCCTGATTATAAAACGTCAAACCAAAGCAAAATCAAATGAATTTTTGCTTGATAATTGTGAAACCCTACACCACATTAATGTTTTCCCCTTCCATTTCATCTTTAGCGAGATTTAGCTTGTTTTTACAGTGTAATGGAGGAAAAATTAGCCTGGGATATAATGATCCGTAAATGGCGAAGCTGCGAAAAGAATGTCGCGTGAAGCGGGGATTTGAAAGAAAGTCCTCTACTCAGATTTAGCTTATTGCTACTGACATTTTTGTACTTTTCGTTTTCTCTCAACGTGTTCTCTATCACGAAGCGGCAGAAAAGGGCTGTAAAGGCTGCTGTTCCTGTTGTTACATGGAGAGTAAGAAATTGAGCTCGCTTTTCATGGTTCTTTCATGGTTCATGGTTCATGCGGTTACCTGCTTTTTTTGTGCACCTACATGTAGACAATAACTCGATCGAGGAAGCAAACTAATCAGTAACCCCAAACAATGGAATCAATTGTTTATTTATTTAACACAACTTTTCCAATGTTTTTAAACATGGGATTATTGTTCCCGTCTACCAAACCGTTGCTAACTAGTTATTTCTGCTGTAACTTGTCTCCTACGCAATTTGTCTCAGCGAATAAAACTGGCAAATGGTTGAGAGCTGATAGTCACATGGTAGTTTTCCCAGCTTCACATTTTGAAATATTCTGAACATTTACTAATGTACTGTGAAGAAGCTAAACGCTTTCACCCTTAGCTTCAATTTCAGTGTTCTTTTTATGAATTCAGTTGAACATATTTCATGCCCCTCGAGGGCAATCCCTGGAGTGGTCTATACACTGCCCGAAATTAAGGGGTACTTTTTTCAGTCTTCAGGCATATGGTATAGGTATATCTGTTAGGTATTTACATGGGTCCGTCACAACGTCAACTGCTTAACTTACTTTTTTTAACCTTTCTTCCGGTAGAAGCTGCTGTTCTCCCATAACATCGCCCATTGACTTCATTTTGAGGTTAGTAGCAATTAAGTGTTGCATTAATTGTTTTTAAGTATATAGGTACTTTTTGTGGAAGGTATAATAATAGAACAAGAGGATCCTTTTCTTGCCATGAGTGGTAAATAAAAGGGTAAGGGGTTGGACTTCAGGGCCCAGCCTTCCCTCACGAAACTTTGTTGTGTAATCCACTCTAGTATTTCATGTCGTTGCTTTCTAATTTATTCTCCGGGAGAGATGATTCTCTGAATTAATTCAAATAAGCACATCGTAGTATTCTGGATAATATACACTTGTTGAGTAGAGTAGTGGTAGAGACCAGATATATGGGACATGAATGTGACATTTTATGAGAGTGGAGAGGGGGGAGGGGGAAATGTTCAAAGAATTCACAAAAACGCATTTAAAACAGTCAATCGACATTCCTAGACATTCCAACCGGATATTACTGAAACGAGGAATGGGCCCTTAGCACTGGTAACGCTCGCTAAGCGTTCCCCGTCCGTATTAGTAACATTGCCGTCAATGTCCTGTATTGCATTGACGTCATCTTACGCGATATCGCAAGCGTTGTTCAAATTTGGTCAATGCTAGTGGCTTATGAAGAATTAGCTGGGGTAGTTAAGCTAATCAGAAACGGAGAAATAGTTTGGAAAATAAAACCAAGGACAGAACATAACCTCTTGGCATTATTTTATTATGTCCTTATAACTCAAGAAAGTTTGTAACTATATTATTTTGAGCCTCTTCAATCTAAGCATCATTTGACAATGTGTTAAAGGGCTGTGAAATGGCAGGTTGCGATTTTCAGTGGATTTTTTGGAAACTAAGTCGATCAAATGAGCAAAAAATAGACACTTCTATGATCACTATTAGTGCACTTTGTGATAGTTCCGCAAGTCTGTAAAGGCGTACTTGTATACTGAAAGTAGAAAAGACTACAATGATTAGACTCCTTCTCTAAGTTTAGTTTTTGACACTAAGCCCCTCCCGGATAATTATGCTACATACAAAGTTTTCATGGATGAGTTGGATATCCATCAATCGCGCCTAACCGCATCTCTCTAGCTCCTTCCAACTGCGTTGTATGGCATCCCATTTACCAAACTCACTTAGGGTATGCCTTTTACCCCAATGCCACCAGTGCCGCCATTGATAGAAAAGGCCGGCACTCAGCTCCAGGGCGGTCAGCCGGACAGACAGACTCGTGCACCATTGACTCCCAGGAGAACGGTTTTCTTGGTAGGACAGTGTCACAGGAAGACCAACCCTTACCAAGGTTCCATCGCCGTAGACACCTCCTCGGATGATATATGCCGAAACAAATCCTTCAATACTCACTGTGGCACCGGCCGAAGGGTCAATCTAGCGAAAAAAGAAGTTAAATGGTGAGTAACAACTACAAGTTTGTTAAGGACAGGATATGAGTTTACCTCTCGGAGGATTGGACAGGTCGCGTAGTGGAGTACTCACCTCTACAGCTAAATTAACAGGATTGAGAGAATTCTGCTCCAGTGGAAAATTCAGCTGGATAGAGACGTCAAAACTTAGGCTGAACTCCACCCCAACCCTCAAGATGAGAACAGGAATAGAAAAAGGCTAAGAAATAGAAAAAAAAAAAAGAAAAACGACAGTTACCTTTGTAACACAGATGGTGAAATGCAAATTCAGCTAAACACTTTTTAGGTTGACATGATCATTTCGTGATTTGTTCCAAAATCACATTATTTTGGTAGAGAATCAAACACAAACAGCGTTGGTAAACATTGCGAACTTTCGCATGTTTATACAAACTTGACGTTTTGTTCGCCAGTCAACATACATTTTCAAGTGATCAAAAGTGACTCAGAATGATTAGTGCGCCGGTTAGCGCACGATATAAGATCAATTAATCAGAACACTTGAGTGCAATACTTTTAAGGGGCTTCACCAAAGAGCAGTGTGCAACAAGTGATTCTTAGTAACAAGCATTTTAGAAGCAGACACTCACTATTCCAATTCTCCAGTCATGTTTTATTGGCGTTACATGTATGTCCTTCAACTCACTTCTAGCGTAACTCTTTTGAAGTATGGTACGTTTTTTACTTCCGATCTTAAGGCCACAGAACACTCCCATTTCCATGTTGCCATGGCTACGATGTAACCAAACCATTCCCTCTCCCTTTACATCAATTCCGATTACTTTCTTCTCAAACAAAGTGAATGAATGCTCAAAGTTTAAGTTTGGAGAACCCGCCTCTTCCCAAGGAACGTTGCCGCTGCTCTACCTGATCGGCTTGGAGAGGAAACATTCAAAGGCGTCTGACTGGAATTCGCTGAGACCCTGTTCGACTTTTCGTAAATAGAAAAGGTAGCTTTGCTATTTGGAATGACCAGCTTCACGAAAAATTGAAAGCTCATTTTTTCGGAGTCTATGAAAGGTTTAATTTCCTCAAGCGAAATATGGCTCGTTAGAGTAATTTTCATCATAGAGACGTTAAAACCGCCACGGTTGTGTACGATTGGTTCCCCGAAATTTAGTTGTTGGGTGAAGTTGGAATGACTCTCTTTGATCATTCCTTTGCTTTTATCAATGACGGCGTGATCAGAATACTTCAGGTCCACATCGATTTCTGTTGGAAAGTCCTGAAAGTCTTCACGACTGAAATGATTCTTGATAGAAACTGAGTTTTTATCTGCGGTGTCTGCTTTCCGATGCATTTTTACGGGGCCAGGAAGCAATGGTGATTCTTCGGGAACCACTGAATCTGATTTTTCTCCATCCACGTCTTCGTAGAGGTCGTATTGCACTGTTGGAAGTAGTTGCTTGAGAATGTTATACACCAGTCGTAAGAATTCCTCGGTAGTGTGACGATGCCCATATACTTCAAAAGTCTCACTGAGTTGGCTCTCTGCGCTATTTTGTGAACTGAAATGTAAATGCGTTCACAGTTATTAAAAATAACGATTTCTCGGTATTTTGGTTTTTAACTTACATATCGGCTGCAACGAGTATTTTGCCAAACTGGGTTCCCAGAGAGAATCCTAGGATTGTGAACGAGGTTTTACTTTTACCACCAATGGAAAAATTTTCCATTCCGACGTTTGCATAGGAGTTTCTAACCAACGCAAACCCTTCCCCCCCCCACCCACCTCACAGGCACAGTTAAATCTAGTACTAGCCACAGGATATCGCGCGGCCTTCTTGACAGTGACAAAGACCAGTATTGCTTTTAGGAAAAAAGGCAACATGATCTTCAATTTGTCAAACTATACTAAGAAGTGTCGAACTAAGAAGAGAATGACAAAGACTTCGACTATAAACTTATACTTTCTTAGAAGCGTTGGACTAAGTAAAGAATGACAAGACGGGTTCCATGATGGGGGAAAGAGCAGCACATAAGTCTTAAATTAAGTAATGTGCCACCACACATTTAAACACTCATACATTTTAGGAAGGGTATACCAGTAAGAGGTATGACTTACGACAATGGCTGAACATAAGTCAGATGAATACTTAGTAAATTCTAGAGAGTAAAACCCAGAGTAAAACCATTAAGATTGACGTTTCATATCCTCTGATAAGCCTATTATTTTTTTAAAGGTAGTTTCACCTTGAAACAATTTGCAGATGAACAAGGAAGTAAGCATTTTCTTTTTTCACATAGGGTAAGTCTACATTTCCATCCAGGTACGACAGATTAAAGTTCATTAGCAACCAGTACTCCTCTGACGTCTTGTTAAGGACTCGAATGCCAACCGTTGCATGGATGGTAGCTGCAGTGACAGAACAAACCAACAAAACAAAGTAGTAATAATTGGGAATTGATGGGGAGAAAATGAGAAGAGGGTTTGAGGAAGTGGGAGGAGAAGGCGAGGGGAAATATGTGGCGGCGGAAGGTGAATCGGTACAATGGACTGACCTCAACAGAACGAACCTCTATGTAACGAAGTCCTCGGTATAACGAACAATTTTCTTTACCCCAGTAATCAGAGGAGGAGTGAACGTTTTCCCACAATGCATTGCGATTCAAACTGATATATCGAGATTTTCATGACGTCATCATTCGGCTCAGACGCTTGATCAAGTCAGAGCAGCATGGCGAGATGTGTTGTTAGAAATTCGCGGCTATCACAGATCCGCCACGTTTCAAAGGACGGTTAGTCTATTCGCCCTTGTGGTCAGGGATGCATTGAACTTGCTTTTCGTAATGCTCGTATAATTTTTGTGCAGGGTATGACAAGAAGGAAGGTTTCATGACGCCACTCGAAACGTCCCGAATGAGCTAAAAATTAAACTCTGTAGTTGATTTCCTCGAACCTGGTTTGGTTTCTGGAATCACTTGCTGTTAAATAAAGGTAAGTCGAATGTACCATTCTTTGTTTAATTATAGGACACTCCTTCCTTGGAGACTGTTGTCGTTCGTTTTGTATTGTCACTCAACAAGATTCTCGATCTAGGCTAATGCGCGAGTTGCACGCAAGGACCTTAGTTGCTTTGTCAAGTCATTGAAATCAAAGGTAACTCACGTTTCTAACATTCCTTTCGTCTACAGATCCTTAGAGAAGACGATGATCCTTATTAAAGAGGAGCTCTGGCAGTATTTCCTTTGTTGTTCGTAAAATGGAGCAAGTTCCATTCATGTAAATATTGATGTCATTGATTGATAGGCTTCGTAATTTACTGTTTACTTTTCAATAGATCTAGCTATATATTAAAGAATGTGATATTTTCTGCAATTTCTTTTGTACCGAATTATATTTTTTTGCCTCTGGTGTTGCTGTTATACTTTCATTTCATAAGAGTGAAAGAATTGTGCAAGCTTGAAATTGTGCCTACCTTCAGCTACCTTTCAACCATAAAAAGCAGATGCCTGTATGGCCTGTATGCTATCCAAACCATAACTTAAGATACATCCCTAACAATAGCCTCTTACACATAATTGGCAACTATTAATTTTGGATGGGAATGTGTAAAGTTTCTCTTTGCTGCTATTGATGTACTAAAGAGACAGTGGTAAGTTCTCCGTATAACCCCATACATTTATTATGCATACATGTTTCAACTCTGTGCATATTAAACTATTTTCAAGAAGATGAAGTATGAAATTGTTGAATGTATAATAGATAAGAAACTACAAACAACGAACTAGCGGTGAACGATGACAGATCAGGATATCACAATTCAAATACGAAAAAATATACGTTTCAGAAAAAATCTCTTGTAAAGCTTCCTTTTATGAAAAGATGAAAAGACAAAGAATGAATGAATAGTCTTACTTACCTCTAGTTAGGATTCTAACCTGGTAAAAATGTTACACAAAAACACCGTAAAAACACGACGTGCGAAGGAAAACTCCGCCATCTTGGAAGAAACACAATCGCAATGCACTGTGGGAAGACGCTCACTCCTCCTCTGCCCAGTAATGATAAAATTTATGGAAAAGAACCTCATAATAGCGAAAAAAATTTTGCTGGTCTCTCGGCCCTTCCTTATATCGAGGTTCTACTGTACATGGTTAGACTTCGAGCGGTCCTTTTCAGTCAGTCGAGTCAAGGCTCGGCAGGACTGGAGAGAGCGAAATGGCCGAGAGTGTATGGTTGTCCCGGGGGAGGGACTTATGGAATGTTTAACAAACCAAAAAAAAAAGATAATTGAGTAATCTGATTAGATTAAAATAAATTTGGTCGTAAGCAACCGCGTGGACACCCTCACCATGTTAACCCAGCTGTTCCAGACTCTCAAAAAGCTTGCTGGGAGGAGCGAAACACCCACCTTTGTTCGAGAATTTCCTGCCAGCATTAGGTACATTTGAACGTCAATTTTAATGACAGGGTCATTTCACTTAGAACGTCTCACTCAAGGCTACTTGCTCTAAGTAACTACCGTAAAATTCCGAAAATAAGCCCCTTCATGTATAAGCCCCTCCAAATGTAAGCCCCCCAAATTCGTAACACAAAAAACCCTCCGTTAAATCGCCCCTCCAAATATAAGCCCCCCAGGGGCTTGTACTTGGAAATTGCCCTCAAATACAAAGTAAAATAAAGCAAAAACGGTAAATTTCCTTCCAACTATGGCTAGCCCAACCGATTTTGAAACGCAAATTTCCCTCCGTAGACAAGCCTCTCCGAATATAAGCCCCTCCAAAAATAAGCCCCTCAAAAAGGGCCTTTGAAAAATATATGCCCCGGGGCTTATTTTCGGAATTTTACGGTATATTATCAATATCATTGACGTTAAAAAGGGGTATAATGGAGGCAGCTATGCACCGATTCAAAGTCAGAGCAATAAACAAGCTGCTAAAACAAAAACATTCGAACTCGCCTTTCTGTACATCATTCCCTTGTATTTCGATCTCCTGCTCAACTTTATACTCTAGAGTTTCGCCTTCTTTTAGTTTGACTTCTACCAAGTGAGTTGGAGTTGTCTTTCTCATTGCGAAATACACGCTCACAGCAATCACTGCACCCAGCAACAGAACCACTAACAAGATACTGATAATTACGATCTTATAGTCCTTCGGGAACAAGACTTTTTTCCAACGAAATTATAGCTCTTTCTATCACTGTAGTCAACTTTCGCTTCTGTATCCTTGTTCGCCTCCATGCTAGCAGAGCTGATAAGAAAACAAAGTTGATGAAAAAGTGTTTTTAATTTTGTAGCCACTAAAGCATCTTTTTTATCAGTCCCAACAAAATAATGGATCATTATCTGGATTTGTTTATTCTAGGGCTAAAATAACAAAAAGAAGTTACGGCATCGATCACCTGCTTGTGATCCCAAAAGACTTTAGTCCCTGAAAAATTGTGCGCCATTTTAAAAAGGATTTGTTGTAATATAACCAATGAAGAGAATGTAATTACCACTGCAGTCACTACAGTCGCTACATGCAATCAAATCTTGGTTTATTTATCGAATTTTTGAAAAATGTACGTAAGCTGTAATGATTTTAAAAGGAAACTACCTCTCAACATATACCTACTGCTAAGGCACGAGGGCTTCCAACGAGATTTTAAGAAATCTGACCATTGACGAAACTTCAACTCGCCTGTTTCAGTGAGCTTACCGAGTGAGTTTTTAGAATCACGAAGATACTTGGCAGGTTTTACTCTAAAAAAAGGAGCTGACTAATTAAAACATTAAAAGGCCTTTGTCGCGTCGTTGTACTACGCGTACGTGAAGTTTTTTGTGTGTAATAGGGATGTATGAGTAGTGCAGCAGCGCTGTATATTTTAGGGGTTGGTTGAGACGAGTGAAGTGGAAGGCGTCGAGTCTGAAAGGACTCAAACGAATTTTTTTTAAATGTCTTCACATAATCTTCATAATGTATATAATAATGTCTGAAACTTTCATCAAAATTGATTGACTGCAACACCTTGAAATTTCAAGACAAACCTATTCTACGAACAAGTCAAAAGTCCGCGCTACAATTAACATTCACTGTTTTGACGTCATGCTAATTTTTCCAAATTAATGCGGACAATACATATATCCATGACTAATACATTTCAGTGTGAGTATCGTCAATGTTTTACATTCAAAAGATGCGATAAATTCAAACTAAAATGTACTAGTCATGGAGGTATGTATAGTGCGCATTATTTTGGAAAAATTAGCATAGCGTCAAAACAGTGAATGTTGTAACGCAGATTTTTGACAGGTTCGTAAGATAGGTTTGTCTTGAAATTTTAAAATGTTGCAGTGAATTGATCTCAATGAAAGTTTCAGACCTTATTATATACATTATGAAGATTATGAGAAGAGATTAAAAAAAAAAAATTCGTTCGAGTCGTTTCAGAGATATATAAAAAAGCACTTAAAGTCCAAATTTTGAATGAAGCTGCTCTTAGACAGGTGGTGAGAAAACGGGTTAGTTTTTAAGATCGCAAGAACAAAAATACACAAAAATTTCCTAGCATCGACATAAGATATTAAGCAGCATTCTGACGCTACTTAACAATAATCTGAGTCATTTATAACGCTTTTATTAAATAATCTATCACGGCTATTGAAAATTTAAGGATTGAAATGTATTTTCGTTTTAGTCGAATTCAAACATACAGAATTTTTTACTTCTCACGGAGATTGTTTGCTAAACACCAAACTTTAAGTTCCTAGTGTTGGATTTTCAGTAGCTGGTCTAGATCACACAAAATTCGGCTTTTATCAATTTTAAAGTTTTTTGTTTATTGTTGTCATAGTAATATCGATTTTACTTAAAACTAAATTTTCACAAATTTAAATCCCTAGCCAATTACTGATGAAAGTTTTATAGCGATCGGACAAGGAAAAAGACACTTTTAAGGCGATTGAAAAATATCGGTATGGCCTCTGAAAAACTGTATCGAAATACCTTTTATTTATAAGTTTATCTTTTCCGAGCGAAAAATCGTCCTCTGAGAGAACATGTGCATACTGGCAATGAAAAACAACGACGCCCAAATAAAATGGTAATTTTCATTCTTTAACCAGATTTTTTGATTCTTATTTACCCATAGAAGGGATTTCAAAAAAATTTCTTGTGCAAGACCAAGTCGATCTGAACTTCAGCTCCAAGAAGGAGTTCAAAACAATTCAACGCAGTGCAGTTTAATGTCTATCTCCCATCACTTAAATCAGTGTTTTCTTCCAAGAGAGATCTTTCACATGAAAATCAGAAGCAGTTTGTCAAAAAAAAAGTAGTGCTTGATTTCTTTCTCACGTGACCACCCATGCGTTATAATTCAAAGGTACTGCAGGCAGTCTATAGCTAGAATATTCATTACATTCTTTATTCGGTTAGGAATCTGTGAAAGTGAACTGTTACACTATCGAGGCTTTTATCGCTATTTGCGTTGAAAGTGGCGCTCTCTGCTATCCAAAAAATGAGATAAAATTGAATATGCGAATATTATCTTCGAAGTGCCCTAATTAATTCTAATTATGTTTTAAATCTGTAATTTGAATATGTAGTCTTAATTTCGCCGTTCATAATTAGTTTTGATAGTTATTGAGTGTTCTAATTTTCAGATTCCATTCTTCGCCGTGCTTGTAGCCACACGTGTGGGCTCTTTTCATGAAATTAGTCCACTCGAGTCATTGTCAGCTCGGTTCGAAATCCTTACTTAGCAGCTCACAAACAGTTTGGTATGGTTACGGCTTGCGAAGATCTGCACTGATGCAAGAAGTAAATTGACCTCGTCTATAAACTGTTTCTTTTCTTGCATCAAAATTACTTCAAATAGATATATTGAGGAAATGAAGCCAGCTTTTACAGCTGCAGACGAGTAGGTTAGGGACTCGCTTATCTGTTCTATTCAGTTACAAATACATATCGTCAGTGTATCATGACTATTTTCAAGTTCATTCAAGTCACTTAATCGGTGAGTCAGACCATAGGTGGTATGAAACTTCAGTTGATTAACGACAGAGCTCATGTATCTACGGGACGATAAAGCAATACTGTGCAATACTATGCTTAGTTTAAGATCTTACGAGTCATTTCACGCACACACACAAAAAACGTAAATTTCATCATCAGTGTTCGGACATACGCTGCGCCAAAGTTTATGAAGACATTTATATGCTCTGACCAAACTAATCAGAAACTAATGAGAAAAGGGACAACTGAAGTAAATGACGTACATCAGGAACAAGCAAGCAGCCAGGAGGAAGAGAGTAGATAAAGAATTTGCATCCTGATTCAGTTCCAGTGGAGACAGTGGAATGTAAATCTAACTCACATTGGAGTGAATTAATAAACAACCTAGTCATGTAGTGGACATATACTGTTGAGAACTGGAACGTCGGTTATAAATCTAACGGAAGCCACCTAAATAGTTTTGTTATCCTTTAGTCTTTTTTGCTCTTTTGAGTCGCTGCTTACCTTTCAGTTACAGTAGTTTGGAAGTTGCGGTTCTGTGAGACGCAGCCTGCCGAGGAAGAAAGAACGAATGCAGCGATGTGCTTCAGGGATTTTCAAATTGAGCTGGAATTGATAATCCGACGTTGACCTTTTTTTAATGATCCAGCAGTCAGTGGAGCGTTAAGGATCCAGCAGTCAGTAAAACTGTTTGCGTAAGATCTTAATTTGTTTCCGGAAACGTGATGTACGGTAGAGTCGCTCCAGCAAAGGAGACATCTTCATAAATTTGAAAACTCAAGAACGGAGTACAGGTTTTTTGCGACCGTACAATTCGTTGTGAAGTCACAAATAGCTAATGAGAATCGATGTCTCAATTTTCAGCTGTTAATTCTGTAGACTCAACAAGGGTGTTACGAAAACTAAGACCTAAGATCTAAGACCCGTCTTAGTTTTCGAGATTACGAAAACTAAGACCCCCTAAAATCGAATCTGTCGAAATATGAAGTCAAATTGTAACCGAAATAGGTCTAACCTGTCAAATTATCTTCTACCCGATTCTTTCCACCGAGTTTTAGGTCAAATTTAATGGCAAATTTAGGGGTCTTAGTTTTCGTAATTTCGAAAACAAAGACCCCTCCTCTGTCGCGGAGACACGAAGGTAAAAATCCATATCCAGCACGTGGAAAGCCAATTTTACGATTTTTATGGATAGACAACCAAAATTATTGACCAATCGGCGGGATAAGGCATATTTTCAGTGTACAATTATACACAGGTAGTCTATGGCTTTTTATCCTCTTTTTTAAGCCTCAATACTGATATGCCTGCAAATTTTTAGTCAAGCGGATTGTCAGCACGGAGATGATAGGTTTTGGTTGTTTTACGGATTATAGTCTTTGAAAGATCGTAATTCGGCTTTATATATATTTTACGGATTGGTTTTGTGGGGGGGTCTTAGTTTTCATAATAACGAAAACTAAGAGGGGTCTTTGTTTTCTAAATTACGAAAACTGAGACCCCTCAATTTACCGTTAAATTTGACCTAAGACTCGGTGGAGAGAATCGGACAGCAGACAATTTGACAGATTAGACCTATTTCTGTTACAATTTGACTTCATATTTCGACAGATTCGATTTTAGGGGGTCTTAGTTTTCGTATTCTCGAAAACTAAGACGTGTTTTAGGTCTTAGGTCTTAGTTTTCGAGGGTCTTAGTTTTCGTAACACCCGACCCAACAATTACCAAAAGCTGCGCCAGATTTTTCGTAAAAAACCTACCCAGAAATATAACAGTCAAGAAGATTGAAAAGTATATTTTGAAAAAATAGTGCTTCCAAAGTAAATCGTTGGTTGGTACACGAGACCTTTTATAACTGCCGCGGACATCACTGAGTTAATCTTGCCTGCGTCGCAGACGCTCTAAACCTTCTGTATAGAGTACTAAAATGTGACGTCATAAAAATGAAATTTCTGAAACTATGGGATTTGTCAGGATATTCTGAAAGAACAATGCCCAAGAGGCCTATTTGCCAAAAATGAGCATTTCTGGGCAAATTGTCCCTGAGATCGTAGCCCAGTTACGCTTAGAAAACTCCATACAAACCCTTCTAAATTTTTTTTGGGTCGACCCAAAAAAAATTAGAAGGGTTTGTATGGAGTTTTCTGAGTTTAACCGGCTAACATCTCTTTGTCCTAGTGCGGGGAGTCACAGACATCATACATGCAGCACTCACCCGGGCGGGAAACTTAGGGTTAGTAACCTCGGGACGTTCCACCCGAGAGTTAGTCTACATGTTACTCTTCATCAGTGAGCTCTGTGTGAGTTCTGAGTCAGCTTAAAAAATGGGGCTGAGCATACCGGGCGTGTACGTTTTTTGGGGAATACCCGCTACTGTAAGCGTAAGGTATCTGTGAACGCGCAGTCAGCTTCTGTATCAGCCGCTTGAAGCTGAAGTACTAGTGTTTTGTAGTGAATTGTTTTCTGGTGACTCCTAAATTTCGTTGTGCATTTATCCAAAAATGACTGTAAATTTAGACCAAGAGGTCTGAGAATTCTAGCTGTTAGTTGTCAGTTTTCGATACACCCCACAAAACCGGCTTTTCTGTGATTTCGACCCTTATACATCAGGCTTACCGTGACTTATTCAAACTCACAAAAAGTCGTTTGAGAGGTCTTTCCTTTTTCGTCCCCTCCCCCTACCCGCTCCCTTTAAACTTTTGCGCACGCGCACACGAGAAACCTGTTTCCGAGAAATCGAATCGAGCGTGATTTTCTCCGAACCACTTTGCATTTATGTTTCATATCGCTGAATATTAAGCTGTCAGGTAAGGGCTTTGCTCTGTTTGTTTTGATGTCAATACCTTCCGTATCAATAGTAGCAATTTATAGCACTACTTTACACGTATAGGTTTAACGCCGGCCGCACAGCGACTTTTCTGATTCGATTGTCCTTCGTCGCCGCCAGGCTTTCCGGCCGTATCCTGTATTTGTTAAAAGGGGCCGTATCGACTTGAAGTCTATTTAACGAAGTAATAGTTGAGGTATCGCGTTTCCTTGTTATTTTCAAGACAAAAATGCCCGTAGATATAAATATTAAATAAAAGGTGCAAATTTGCTGAAATCAGTCGTTAGGGTAGTTTAGTTCCCAGAGGAGAGAAATGCTTTTGTTCTTGACCACTAACATGGCCGCCGTAACGTCACGTGCAAAGAAGCAATAGAAATAAATTTAAAAATACGAATACTGGACTACAATAGTTTACAATAAAAATCGAGTCAGGTTAGAGACAATTAATTAGGACAGTTTTGAAATATATTAGATCAGAAGCACATTCAGCTTCGATGGTATTAAAATTTGAAGCGGTGAACTTGATGTCACAAAACCTGTCAAGACATACACCGTATTGCAAATGGCGGACACGCGGGAAAAAACTGGTGCCTAGTCATGAAAGCGAGGCGTTGGAGGGTAAACAAAAATTGCAAACGAAGACTTTCAGTGAACTTGCAGAGTGTTTAGCACGGATTCCTCCTAAAATAACTTTGTATGGACGCCTTTTTAAATACTATGACGTGGGACGTCTTCTGCTTTTAATGTTTAGTACTGATTTGCTGCTTGCAATCAAAAGGGACGCGTATATCTTCAAGGAAACAGGATGATTTTGTAGGTTGCCAAAGCCTCAGAAGCTCGACAAGTGGGTGATGGCTAGAGAAAAGCGGCAAACATGTTGGCCCAAACTTCACTCTGAAACCGAACACGAAAGCCAGCTCACTGCAATTCTGTAAAACAGAAGTAAAAACAGATATTGGTGGCAGGAAATAAGCGACGGATATATGGCCTAATTGTCAACGGAAGAGACCTCCGCCATTAATCAAAACAGGTCAAGTCGACAGCGGGGGAAAGATTCATTCACGAGACTCATTCATTCATGTCAGTGTCATTTTACACATATCTATGTATGTCTGTATTTACAACTTCCTTTGGATGATATTAATTCCGTCGCTTTGGAGTGAATTGTTAGAGGTACGTTGGCAGAGCTTAGCAAATTCAGTGCAAATTTAAAATCTTTTGATTTCTTTGTCATTGCGAAATAAAATAATTTTATCAAAACTAGAAGCTCTAGTGTGTGAATCTTATGGCTTGCTATTTGCCTGGTCTCCTTTACGGCATTATCTCGGAGAGCTCTTGGTAAAAAGGTGGTATAAAGCTCACATTTTACTAGGTTAAACTTTTAAGGCAATGTTTGTGTCAGGACTGAACACGGCAAGCTTCTGTTTCGAATCATTAATTGCGAGTCTGGATCCGTTTAAGAAGACCATCATTTTATTTATTTATGTATTCTTCACTTTTAAAATATTATGAAACATGAAGTTAAAACTCTTAACAGCCAAAGATAAGCCAGGAAAATTACTCGCTGAAATGAAATGTGGCCGGCTTACCGAGTCTGCCGAATAACAAGTTGAAATTTTGAGCGTACTCCACTCGATCACTCCTGCATTTATACCAAAAAGATAGTTCTAATTGATGTCCTTCATCGATAAAGACCGGAGAATAACGCCCTGGCAAATAAACACCAAACATAACTTCCTCGAAACCTCAGTCACCGCTTCTATCCTGTCTTCCTTTTTTCCATCTCGATTTGAACTGTTTTGTTCAATGGCACACGTGTCTTGCGTTAACAAGTAGGCCATATATCCATCGCTTATTTCTTTTTTTCTTGCCACCAAGATTTGCATTGTTTATATTTCTGTTTTACCGAATTGCAGTGAGCTGGCTTTCGAACTCGGTTTCAATGTGAAGTTTGGGCCAACATGTTTGCCGCTTTTCTCCAGTCATCGTCCACTTGTCGAGCTTCTGATGCTTCGGAAACCTACAAAATCATTCTGTTTCCTTGAAGATATACGCGTCCCTTTTGATTGCAAACAGAAAATCAATACTAAACATTAAAAGCAGAAGACATCCCACGTAATTGTATTTAAAAAGAAGTCCGTACAAAGTTATTTTAGGTGGAATCCGTGCTAAACACTCTGCAAGTTCACTGAAAGTCTTCATTTGCAATTTTTGTTTACCCTCCAACGCCTCGCTTTCATGACTAGGCACCAGTTTTTTCCCGCGTGTCCGCCATTTGTGAATACGGTGTATTCTTTTCAGTTTTCATTTATATCACCCCTCGCCCTCTACGGAATTCAGTTTTTAGTCAGTATAGTTCGAAAATGGTGGTGATGTTGATGATGATGATGATGACAATGAAAATATAATAATAGTAATAATAATAATAATAATAATAATAATAATAATAATCATAATAATCATAATCATAATCATAATGATAATAATGTTAATAATCGTCATCATCTGCTTAAAATTTGAACAGTCCATTGATCACATTGTCTCGGTGTGCCTAGTATTAGCGAAAAAAGAGTGCATTTATCGTCATAACAAGACAGCAGCATACATTCACAGGAAGATCTACAGAGGTTATGAAATCGAGACAAATGAGCATGAGTGGCATGGAAAACATCCAAAAACAGTAACTGAGAACAGTGAGGTCACAATACTCTGAGATATGCCTGTGCTCACCGACAGGGAGATAAAAGCCAGCAGACCTGGCATTGTGGTCAAAGACAATAAACAAAGAAAGAAGGTGCATGCTCATTGACCTAGCAGTTTCATCCGAAAGTAACACCTCAGCAAAATTCACAGAGAAGTTTTCCAATTACAGGGATTGGGAAATTGAAGTCAATAGGATGTAGGATACGAAAACGGAAACAATACCAGTGGTCGTTGGAGTCCTAAGGCTAATTAAGAAGGGACTAGACAAGGTCACTAGTAGAATCCCGGGTAACATTAGCACCAATGAAATCCAATAAAATCACAATGCTTGGAACAGCCCACATACTAAGGAACGTACTGTCGCTGAAGTAAATTCTTCCCCTAGCTTGGACCCGGCTACAATGGATGGAAAGCAGGAAAATTTGACGAGAACATAATAATAATAATAATAATAATAATAATGGTTTATTTAACAGACCCACAGGGTGGCTCTTCCCTGTTAAATTACATTATTTGCAGTTAATAATGAATTGAATTACATTGTTTACAATAAAAAAATAAGAGTGATGTATAAAAAGTATCTAGTAAATATGACTAATGGCACTGGAGTTACTACTCCTGTTTTCTTACGTTGGAAATCACCAACTTTTTGTCCGAATCGTCTCTTCATCGAGGTCGTGAAAAACACAGCATCATGGCTTCCAAAGTCCCGGGGCTGGTATGTTCCATTCCAGATATAGTATCAGCAGGCGTCTCCGTGGAGAATGGTTGGAGAGAGAGCGAAAAGGGTGCTACTGATGAATTCGATACAACAGTAGCACAACCTCTGACCAATACCTAGCAAGGCAGTCAGATTTCAAACGACTTGCTTAATTCAGTAACACTAAAGTTGAAATAATATAGCTTAATATCAAAACTACAAAACAAAATTTCTATTTAGCGGTACTATAACTAATGAATAACTCCATTATAAAAATTTACTGAATTAAGTTCGCAGTGACCAAAAACTTGCCCACAATTTGCTAGTGTGTGTCGGTTTTTCAAACCAACAATAATCTCTCGAACCTTCGCATTAAGAGACACGCGTTAATTTTCTACCACGGTAGCGCATATACACAACACTCAGTGCCACACGAAATAAAGTCTGCTTTCATACCGCAAAGGAGAGAAAAAGGAACAAAGTTTATGTAAAGACCAACTGTCGCCAGAAGTCAACTTAAGGACAACCTACATGTGTTCTATAAAATTTTACTTACTTTCCTCAAGTGTTGTCGTCGCTCAAACGCCTTTACTAACGGTCTGCTGTAGACTTTCAAAAAAGTCCTCTCGCCACTTCGTCGCTTGCTTGACCGTGGCTTCGCGGCCTAAACAGCTCGCTCCGCTTGCTTAGAAACTCGTGAGGTCGACTTGTGGCAAGTCTATAGGTCTGCTCCTGTGATCTTGCTCACTTTTTTGGATGAGGGGGATGACTGGTTTGTCTTGATTTATTTCATTGTGGGTGCGGTTCAGTAACTGTTGCATCGAGCACGTAGGGTTAAGCTATGACATTTCACTTTTGCAGGCAAATGGCGGAAAAGATAAATATGTGTAGTACGAGTGAAAGGAAAGGAGCCGACAATAAGAAGTCGGATGTCAAAGACAAACCGCAGTATGCTCAAGGTCATAAGGTATGAAAAACTTCTAGCCTTGCCACCTGGCCGGTAGTCTGCCTTCTCGTGATCGTTTTCCTTTGCTCCTTTTCAGGAGAAAAAAATGTTATTTAGGGTACACGTTAAGTTACGGGCTTCGTCACTTCTTGTTTTTTGGTTTACTTTTTTCTGTTTTTGTCGACTAATAAGATTTCGACGAGAATGGTTTTTATGTACTTCCTGTTTGTTACTATTTAGTTTTTCTTCCTCTTATATACTGTAAACATTTGTGCATACTACCATTACCCTTCCTCCTTGAAAAGGGGGGAAGCAAGACGAAGGCTGGCAGTGTATATATTTTTAAAACTGCAACCATATTTACAAGTTATAGCCCCAAGTTATCAATATAACGTTTAAAAACGTAATATAGAATCATGATCACGTCGGTATTCCACGACACACATTTTAAACTGAGCAGTTCTTTTCACGATGTCTTACTTTCGTCCTTTAGGATATAGCAAACAGTCAGGGTAGAATATTGATCTACCCAGCTGAGTTTGATGCAGAAAACGAAAAGGAATATTTAAACTTCCAGCGTTGGTGCAAAGAGGATGGCAGGGATATGCCATCGTGGCCGCCTGAAGAGGAAACCCCTGAAGAAGAAGAAAAAAAGAGCCAAAGAGACGAAGAAACCGACGAGGACAGCGACGACGAAAGTGACGACAGCTATGACTGGTACCCAGAATATCCAGAACAGTATAAAGTCACAAGCGATCCAATACCTGCTGAAGCAACCATGAGTCGTCCGATCGCCTACCTGTTGTTTAGAGACAGAGCCGAGCTTTTGTTTCAAGGCATCACGAAAGCTATGTCGTCGGTCAAAAAATCTACAAAATTAAGCCCCTTACAGGAAGCAGTTTTGAAGAACATTAAGGAAAACAGAAAATTGCCTCGCACTGCGTTGTCGCTTGAGAAAACTAGCTTTCTGGTTCGTGTTTCTGTTCTACGGTCATCTGTGCCTGTTTACCGAGACATTAGGGTCCCATCAAATATGAATCTCCGCATGTTCCAAACCCGCGTTCTGTGTCCTGTCTTCGACTGGGATTCAAAGTTGATACCTTTAAAATACATATACTACCTCCCACATACCTGCTATCCCTCTGGGCGCCGACCCTTGTCAAACTTCAAAGACATTGTGTTCACAACACCCTATCAAGACGATTTCACTGGGATGATGATGACATTCAACCAGGAAGCCACTGATGCGGAAGTCATTGACGATAGGGATGTTTGCCTCGTAGACTTTTTGCAGGAGCCCGGGCACACTTTATACTACCAGCATAACCTTGCAATACCCTTAACGTTACAGCTCAAACTTTTGCAAGTTGGCCAAGAGGATACTGTGGAGCTTATTGGAGGGACGGGCATCAGTCCACCTGAGAGTCATTTGGCAACGGATGGCCCATTTGACCAAGAAATACTTGGAATTGATGCTTTCAATCTTGCTATCAAATGGCTACAATCCGTCTCTATCCACGAGAGCTACAAGAGGGAAGGCATGCGCCTGTTGCAGATCCAACTGAAAGACTCAAAGACGTTTGACCCGACAAAATTTGATCTACCTGGTACGCGCGAAAGACTTAATCGATCAATTCGTCATTCTACTGCAAGGACCCACTTACCAATCACGACAGGACAATCAATGGCCGTGATGTTTTCAGATGACCCAACAGCCATTAGGAATCTCCCAAAAGTAAATTTTTTGGGAATGTGTAAAACATGCCTGAAAGAGAACGTCAAATTGCTAAAATGTGGACGTTGTAAAAGCGTGTTTTACTGCTCAAAAGACTGCCAGAAAAAAGACTGGAAGTCTCATAAAGCAGTGTGTGCCGTTGCGTACCATAAATAACCTATAGCACTAAGAATAGGCGGATTCATAGTGACATCATTGTTTACATTTTTTGCTCATTAGCATACTAGTTAACCCATAGAAGATGTAGCCGTATATACCAGTTAGGTTTAAAAATTAAAAGAGCTGGTTAGTTTTTGCAGTTTCTGCAAGTTTCAGCTCTTTGCTATCAGTAACAAAGAAAATAGCAGCAATTAAAAACTGCAAAATTGCTGGGTGGCAAAACGTTAATGAGCTCATAAGTTCTTTGTAAATTTTGGGGTTTTTCAGAGAGAATTTCTCCGAAACCGTAAAATTCCGAAAATAAGCCCTCCTTCATGTATAAGCCCCTTCAAATATAAGCCCCCTAAACCGGTAACCCAAAAAGCCCTCCGTTAAATCGCCCCTCCGAATATAAGCCCCCGCGGAGGCTTGTACTTGGAAAACTGCCCTCAAAAACAAAGTAAAACAAAGCAAAAACGGTAAATTTCCTTCCAACGATAAGCTAGCCTAATCGATTTTTAAACGCAAATTTCCCTCCGTACATAAGCCCTTCCGAATATAACCCCTGGTTTGAGGGGTTGGAACGAACCCCCTTTGCATGTCAGTGATGGAGGACTAAGAACACAGTCAAGCTGTTAAAAACATGTGATCCGGATGATTTCCCTAACCTGTACATTCTTCTCAAGATTACAGCTACTCTTCCCAAGACATCGTGCGAGTGCGCGTTCAATCACCCCAATGAGAAGGCTAAACAGTTACATGAAATGTACCATGGGCGAGAGTAGGCTCTCCTCACTGGCTATCGTGCATATCAAGTACGATATGCCTATCGATCTGGGCCTAGTTGCTCGAAGCATGGTTAGCGTTAACCAACGTTTAATACCTTGACAACGTATTGGTTTTGATACTGCTTAACCAATGGTTAAAGCTAACCAGCCCTGGACGAAGTTGTCAATTTATTTGAAGGACTCCACTCGAGGATGATGCAATTACAAAGTCTGCTTTACGAAACGGAATAGTCCTTTTGTGAGTTGATAATTAAGTAGCCCATGTTGTGGCGGCGGTGAGAGAGAAAAATGAGGGACTACAGACAAAACCCAAGCCTTTGACCCTTCACGGCCGCCTGATTTTGGAGTGTTTAGTTCGTATCCCATTCCAGATCAATTATGTGTGTCCAATGGCATTCCTTCTCTCATTGAGTTGTCATTGCTTTTGTCATCGGTAAACTGCGGGGCATATTTATTGCAAGTAAAAGAAAACCTAGAGTACTAATTTTCTTCACGGTAGTTTCGCGTGAAAAACTTGATAGTTTAAAAAGGGGGTCGGTAGGCAACACACGACTTTTACCTCATGCCGAAATGCTACTTGTTCCAATGAATTTTTCTCTCTGACAGATAGATTATGCTCTGCAGGAAAAAGTTTTGACTGGGAAAATGTGATTTTTGCCGCTTATTTCATACTGAGAGAGAGCAACGCATAAGTTCAAAAGCTTGGGCTTTGTCTGTAGTCCCTCCGTTTTTCTCTCTTACCGCCGCGTCTCGCCTTTCTCGCGTAGGTTGATTTTAACGCGCGCTCGCGTTTCGCTTGCTCTACTATCCCTGAGGAAAAATGGGGACTATACTCGTACTCTAGGGAATTGGGGGGCTTAGCTTTTGCTCCAAGATACCTTGCAGTACACGTCGAGTTTTGTAAAACGTTTCGTGTACTTACCTGGTATGTATCACTATGTATGAATGTTCCAAGCAAAAGGAAATGTTGTTGTTATGACCAAAAATACCTGTTATTTTAGACTTGATCGAGTTTGAAATATTCAAGTGGAGACTACTGAAAATAGCATTTCCAGGTTCTAGATTTCAACATTTTCTACGGGAGCAATTTTCCCCAAGAAGCCCCTGGAGGCTCGCCTCTTTGGCGCTCGCAGTATTTCCCGCTGTTAAGAAATATTCGTATTAGTACGAGCAACCCTTCTCAAACCCCAGCTACGCGCACGCAAACTTCAATAGTTTGGGCAGAGAAAAGGAACACATAGAATAGGGTTCGTCTCAGTCTGTTTAGTTGTGTCATAAAAATTGGTAGAAACTATATATTTATTTAGATATTGTTCAGATTGAATTAACAATGGCAGTAGCTAAAAGTTACAAAATGCGCACAATAACTTTAACTATTAAGTTTGTCAGGTTAATGATGATTATGCTCGTTTTTAATTTAGAAACGCAAAAGTTATTGTGCCTGGAGTTAATTCGGCACAGTTTTGCTTAAGAACCAGAAGTCCAAAGACTACTGCAAAGCTGATTTAAAACAACGTATATTGTTTTTTATAACAATATTTCGGCTGGCCATACCAGCCTTCTTCAGGTTTACAGATGTTACTGAACTTATGTAGCAATCACAATATTATATAAATGGAGAATGTCGCAATAAAAAAGGGAGAGGCGAAAATGACGTAAAACATAAAAACTGGAAAGGAAAAATACTAAGGATATGGATTACAATAATTCGTCACGGCGGTTTAGGCCATGAGGTTCAAGAGTCATGGCCTTTTCACGAAGATTAGAGCTACGTCTGTAAGCAACAAAAGGCGGTTGCTTAAAGACGTCTTTGCAACGGTTAGAGGAGTGTAAGATGTTAAAATGTTTGCGTAGGATATTAGAAATATTAGAAATGTTTTGCTTGTACGTTGAGGGTCTAGTTGTGTTATATTTCATTCCGTAAACTCAATGAAAATATTGTTTTTTTTAATTGTCGAACACGACAGTTAGTTAACTATGAAGGATTAAGGATGTTTTAGAGAAGGAAATTAACATAGAATACAAATAAAAAATTTGAATAATTAAGGCTAAACTAAGATGTAAAACCATGAAAAACCCCAAAAGGTGACTTTCAACTAGCATTACGTAATACAAAACAAAAGCCGCGCCTAATACTTATTTTGTCAAGATTTATGTTTTATGTAGCATCTTTTTCAGTTATCAAACTTTTAATGTAGAATTTGGAAAGGAAGATTAATGCGAGCAAAGGACGATCTACAATATTTAGTGTCCCCACGTAGTGGTTATACACCGCTATTACAGTTTTGACACTTTAATAAAGGTGTCATCATCATCATCATCATCATGCGCGCCTAACCGCATCTCTCTAGTTCCTTCCAAGTCCGCTGTATGGCATCCCATTTGCCAAACTCATACAGGGTATGCCTTGTACCCCAGTGCAGCCAGTGCCGCTTTTGATAGAAGAGGTCAGCACTCAGCTTCAGAGCGGTCAGGTGGACGGACAGGTCTACACACCACTTGTTTCTGGGGTCACGGTTGTCACGGTAGGAGAGCATCACAGGTAGACCGACGCGTACTAATGTGCCATCTCCGTCTACACCACCGCGGATAAAGTGCGCTGACACGTATCCTTCAATGCTTGCTGTGACTTCGGCTGAGGGATCAATCTAATAATAAAGGGTTACAAAATTTTGTTATTGAAAGATAACCTTAACTGTTTCCTTAACGATAGTGGCAGCCAAAGAATAATACCGATATTCAGTGATAATTCATGTGCAGGGGAAGTAAAAGGGAGAGTCGGACTACAGGAGGTCTTTTACCAGGGTAAGTCCGGACACATTTACTTTTTGGAGAGAATGTATCGCGTGAAATTTTTAGGTCACGATATCTATAAATCCATTTTGTCTCTAGAGGTCTTCTCACGCTCTGAGTGGCGTAGTACATACAGCGAATACGAATATCAGACCATTGTATCGGATGGGAGAAGTAAAAAATAAAAAATTCTAAAACCGTCATCCTACAAAATGGTCGCGGTCGCTTACGAGAGGTGTTCGTTTACGAGAGCTTTCAACTTTAAGGGTTTGAGTTGGGAAAATTTTGGTGTTTTGGATAATTGATAATGGGAGGTAGTCGCGTACGAGAGGTGGTCGCACATGGAGGTTGGACTGTATTTTGGACAATGTCCCTTGGAATTGCAATATAGCTAAAAAAAAAAAAAAGGAAGCGGATGAGCATGCGTTTACAGTGCTGTTCCTTTCTTCAGAGCGAAGCACTAAAGCTTTTGTTTTTTAGCACCACATTAGACTGGGAGCAGCGAAATCATAAAACATTTACCTCTGCCGCTAGCTTGAGGGGATTGACTGAATTCTGGTCCCAAGGAAAAGACAGCTGACTACTCACTTCAAAACTGAGGCTAAACGTCACTCCAATTTTCAAGATGTGAACAGGAACAGAAATGGACTGCATAGAAAAAAAGGGACGAGGGCGGTTAAAATATTGGACATTGAGTTCAAAGAAACGTTTGATTTTAGTGGTGGATGGGGACTGTTACTATTTCATACGTTTGGTATAACATGGTTAGAGAGTGAGTTAAGAAGATCATCTTTTGCAAGAGCATGGTTCAATAATAATGCGTAGCGGGTGTGACTGGCTTTCATACGGAAGTAAATACTCATTAGTTCTGGAATTCAAACGAGTAGTTTTACCCTACGCGCCGGTAATTGTGAACTCAAGGGCTCCAAAACAATAAATTATATTTGAAATGATCGTTTGCTTATAGTATGTGATGATTTGTAACCCAAGTAATTTATTCTTGGGACACTTGAGTTGACACACAAGCGCGCGGGGATCATTCATTTAAAAGACACTAGCCAATGTCTTTATTTTCTTATATTTTAGTAGCTACTTATAAAGCAGGAAATACTTACTAATGCTTTGCTCCACCGATGCTCTATCTTTTTGCTTTGTCCATCCTCCATTTCACTTCTTGGGTACCTCAAGTAAAGTATATCAGGTAGAGTCCTGCCAGCGATTGAAAGACGAAAACTGACTCCTATTTCCTTGTCCTCGTTATCATGTATCCATATCATTCCCTCTCCTTTAACATCAATCCCAACCACTTTTTTCTCAAACAAAGTAAATGGATGCTCAAAATCGAGGTTGGACGAACTCACTTCTCGCCAAGGGACGTAACCGGTGGCTCTACGTGATCGACTCGGGGACGGCGTTTGACTGGAATTAAAAACTCCACTGGGCCTATCGTAAAGAGCAAAGGTAGCCTTTTTTTTTGGAACAACTAGTTTCACGAAAAATGGAAAGCTAACGTTTTCGGTGTCCATGAGGTCTTTAAATTCGCGATCGACAAGCGAAATATGGCTCGTCAGGGACACTTTCATCGAAGAAACTTTAACACCGCCCTTGTTGTGTATTGGTTCCCCAAGATTTAGTTGTTGGGTAAAGTTACAGTGGCTCTCCGTGATCACTCCCTTGCTCTTATCAATGACGGCGTGATCAGAATACTTCAGATCCAGATCGATTTCTGTTGGCAAATCCTGAAAGTCTTCACGGCTGAAATGATTTTTGATCGAAACTGAGTTTTCATCTGAAGTGTCTGCTTTTCGGTGCATTTTTACCGGGCCAGGAAGCAAAGGAGATTCTTCGGGAACCAGTGAATCTGATTTTTCTCCATCCACGTCTTCGTAGAGGTCGTATTGCACTGTTGGAAGTAGTTGCTTGAGAATATTATACACCAGTCGTAGGAATTCCTGGTTAATGTGACTATGCCCATAGACATCAAACGACTCAGTGCTTTTCTTTGGTTGGTCTTTTGGTGTCCTGAAATGCAAATACGTTAGAGACATCAAAACGTGACTTCATGAGTCAGTGTTGCCCATTTTTGAATAGAACTTCTCAGTGATCAGTGCTTCTTCAATGGGTGTGTGGCAGGCGTGCGAATTGGAGGTGGAAATTAAGTGGAACCTCGAGAACACAGGGCGATGCGATTTTCCCCCGTCACCCACACCAAATTGTTGCGACCTTCCTCAAAGGCTTTTCAGTTTGCTGCTTTTACAGTTACAAAAACACGCTTTTATACCGAGGCATTTATTCAGTTTTTGTGGTCTAGCAGGGAGCGTTTAATAAAGAGGAGGCGTACAAGCCGGTACTGAGAGGCATTTATGCTCAGAACTTTGAAGAACTCAACCAAAGTATATAACTTGCTTTGCGAAAATATCCAGAGAGTTTATAAATTGCAGTTGTCTAGTCCATTCATCGATAGCTAGGTCTAGGCCATCTAGAGATCGATATCGCTTCAGTTCAAATCTCAACTTCGATGTCAGAATCCTCGCTCAGGGTTATGGTGTTCTCATCGTTAGCCTATCCTTACTTTGAAGTTGATATTGAACAAAATAGGATAAACAAGAAACTGAATAAATTGAATGATTTTTGCCCTTTTGCTAGATTCCATGCCAGTATTGTGGGATAATTGTCGCCTGGCGGGGGGTGGGGGGCTTCAGTTCGACATGGGGCGTTTAATACAAACATAACATCGTAAGACGGGCGTTTATTAGACTTGAGGCGTCTATTTGAGAGGAGGCCTACGGTATTGTTCATTGACCTCGAACACTTTGATTGGTCTTGTCGTCAGTATCTTTTTGTCAGCAGGAACAGAGTTCGATATTCAAGGTATCGTATTACTAACCTTAAATCAATTTGCAGGCGAATTAGGAAGAACGCCTTTTCTTTTTTAATGTTCATGTTCCCATTCAACAATGACAGATTGAATTTCACTAGAAACCAGTACTCTTCGGATGTCTTGTTAAGGACCTGGATACCAACTATCGCACCGATGTTAGCTGCAAACACAAAAACAAAAACGAGGCTGAGTTCCTCGATGCTTGGTTAGCAGTTACCCCGTGGGTTAACTACAAAAAGAGCGTATAAGCTGGCTTGGTAACTCCAAAGGGCACTCCTTTATCTGGTCTAAAGGGGTAAGTTCCGCTAAGAGAGAATAAAGCTCAGAGAATTAATCTCCCATATGGGCGCTACACCTATCTCAATCCCTCTAAAGATATTTTTAGATCTTCTCTGAGATCTGTTGTTTCAAGAGCAAGAGGGTTGAGTGATAGCCAATCATATGTCTCTTCAGTTAGGGTATAAAATTTTACTATTTGGCGTCTTTAACAGTATGAAGGTTAGCCATACATTTGTGGTACAAAGACTTTTTTTTCCACAAAAAATTTAATTCCATGATGCCAGTTTAAAATATTGATCCCTTTAAAATGCTGCATGCAGAACTCATGAATCAGGTCAAAACTAAGGTCTTTTGTCTTAAACGGGGTAGCAAAATGCCTTTAACAGGGTAAGGGATTGAATGAGTTGGCGGCACACCCACGGGGGACTCCCATATGAAAGGGGCGGGAATGCTCGTGGTCTCGTCTCGCTTAGGGGTGAAAATTTCGGATTTTGAACTCACTTAGGATGCTCTGGTCAAAACGCCAATATATTTAGCCGTAAAGGTCTCTTTTAGGGCTGCACGCGAAAAAAAATTATATATTTTCGATTCGTTTTATTTATTCAATTTTAAATGGTCTCTTTTTGGGGTCAAAAAAAGGTTGGGCCACGCCCAGATTGGTCTCCTTTAGGGGTTAATTTAAAATTGCCGACGAGCATCCCCGCCCCTTTCATATGGGATTCCCCCCTGGGGCACACCTCTACCCTTACTTCCCTTGAGTGCCTCTGTCCGTCCCCCTCTCCCCCGCGGCGGGCATTTTAGCTAGCCCTGGATTTGCGCTGTTCGATCTTTCGACCAACTCAGCCGAGGTTTGTTGTCGAGTCCGAAAGGGCAGAGCCAGGTAGACGGGGCTAGGAAAATACTACTTCCTTCCCTCACCCTGCTAGGCCCACCACAATGATATCACTGTATTCTTCCTAATCTACTAAGTGCTCTCCCGAAAAATACGCCTGCACAGGTGTTTAAAACAGCTATTTTGATCTCGAAAGGTTCAGGTGAACACAAGTCCAATCGGGACACTCGGGCAGTTGAACCAGCATAAGTATAAAACTCTGATATCCGGGTTTCATTTGAGGAGGAACTTACGCACGATATGCTTACTGAGTCATTACCAGTAAGGAGTGAAGTGGAGTTAGTAAAACATTACGTTATGCCTCATTAAAACTGAACTTGAAAAAGACATACCCTTCTGTGCACCGTTTCCTTGAATTTCTATCTGCTGATCCACTTTATATGCCAGAGTCTCGCCTTTGTCCAATTTTACTTCAACCAGACGAGTTGAAGCTGTTTTCGCCGTTTTTCTCAATGCAAAATACAAACTGATGGAAATCACAGCACCAAGCAAAAGAACTACAACTAAGATAATGATAACAGTGATCTTGGTCTTTTGTCGGGGAAACTTTTTCCCCACAAAATTATAGCTCTTGCTGTCACTAAACTCAGCTTTTGGTTCTGGGTGCTTATTCGCCTCCATGTTGGTGGAGCTGAGGGGATAAAAAAGCGATAGAGAAACGTGTAAGTACAAGCAAAGGAGTCGAAGCTACTATATTGTAGTCACATAATCATTATTTACTTAAAATCCATGTTTCAATCCTTTGGTAATGTTCTTCTGAGCTCCGAAGCAATGCATTGGCTATTTTTTCCGAAGACAGTTTAGTTCCACCGTAACTGAATTCTCATTTCATGGTGATAAAAAGCGCGCGCGTGGATAGAACGTCAACGAGGGCGCTTGATTATAAAGTGGACAAACGGCAAATTATAGTAGTTGCTAAAAGATATATCTACATGTCGTGACTGTTCATCAGTAGGATGCATCAAATGTGTGCAATTCCACAATTTGTTTCAGCTCCATTAAATCCTATACCAACTATTACTCGCAAAGCATGTTAGGAGGGGCCTCACCCAATGTGAGCGCACAGTCACGGACAACACATATAAGTGAGGAAAATAACGCAAATTAAACTCAAGACGTTATTCAACGAACTAAATGTACACGTCAATTAAATGAATACAGTAAATAATTCACGCGCACAAAATAAAACTGTGCGCGTAAACGTACCAAGATACAACTGAAATAAAAATCTAAGTAATAAATAAGTGATGTAGGGATATTATGGTGCAATTCAAGCCTGGATTGCTAATCTCATCTCCCCCAGGGCTGCACCGTACTTCTCGGACGATAAGACCACGGCGATTGAAGGATTTATTAAATGATTTCTGAGGTAGATTTTGTTTCAAAGTCTTGTTGTCTGAGACGTAATGACAGACCGCGGGGTCTATTTATGAAGGCAACTTTGGACGTGCAAATTCTAGCATATCTCACCTCTTGATATATAAACACCTTCAGCTGGATTGACGGGAATGTAGCTGTCCATATATAATTATAATCATGCCAGAAGTAACAGAGGATTAGTTATTCAGGGGACATTTTAGGATCTGATCAGAACTGGAACGTGCTAAGATATCAAAAAGTCTCCCAAAATGCACAAAACATTATTGCAGGTCTAACTCCCTAACAGTTGTCCTTTTGTGACTTCGAATTCTCAGGAAACATGCATTCTTGAAGCTTTAACGACTGATTGTCTCATGATGCTGAACCCGGAAACGAAACCATGAATACCACAAAGTATCTTTTGATCTTACCCGCCAATTGGAGTGAAACGGCTGAGCTCCATGTTCTTGAATTTGTAATGTTTCCTTGTCTAACCTGTCACACTGAATAACGCACTTTTTACTTTTTATTCCTGATAAACATCTGGAGCTGGAGGCAAGCTTATCAGAAAAAGCAACCCTGCATTACTTCTTGACCCCATATCTAATTGCAACTGACCCAGATTCTCAATCATGCCAAAATGAACTTGATCCAAATTTCACGAAGATGTCACGAAAGTGCAGTGGTACTGGGTAGAGTGGGGCGGGGCGGGGTGCTCATCAGACCTTGATTTCATCTTGATCCTCTGGCTCCGTTACCCTGGGTGCCAGAGCCTTATCTAGCGCGGTTTCCGGTTTCGTTGCTTCGGCCTACGGCCGAAGATGTGTCGGCCTTCGGCCAACGCCCAAAAATTCGCGCCGCACACGGGAAAAAACTTTGGTATCCAGGGTATGGCTCCGTGTACTTGGTAAGCATGAAGCAAGGGAAGCAAGGGTAAAAGGCACAAAAAAACGGTGGTCAAATACGTATGGGCCGGAACTGCATGTGCGAAAGGTTAAGGGGAAGGTGGGTCAAGGAAAATCTTGCAGAATGATAACTAACAACTGTGACTCAACATAGAATAATTAAAGCGGATTGAGAAAGAGCACTTTTGTTGTAATCTTTATTATGTGATTAACACATGTGCCATTAGGTACTCTGAGGTTGATAAAGTTCCTGTTCTGTTCTAGGATTGAGGAGGGGGGCGGTGGGGTCTGGAATTCTTTTTCGTTTGAATCCAAAAACGAGGGGAGGAGGCGCTGGCTCTTTCGCCAGTTTCCTTCTAAATTTAACTTTTGCGTGACAAGAACTTTCCGCTACGTTGCATCAGTTGAAGCCCAGAGTAAACTGGCTCGCGATCCCGTTTCAGTGTGATTTAGAGTGGATTGGAAGTCTATTTTTCGTTCACGGCGAAGCGTTTTCTAGTTTTTACCTTCAATGTGTTTGATTTCTCAGTCACGTGTTTATTTTCCACACTAACGCTATCCCTTCTTTCATACGCGAACCTTTCTTAGAGCAAATCATAAGCTTTTTAAATTTATAAATGTCCACTAAAGAGTAACTAATTATATCTTCCTGGCGTTGCCATGACAACGTCTCGTTCACATTCTCCAGTTGGGGGTTTCTGTTAAAAAAAGTCTGTGGAACTTTGATTGACTTCCTGGATAACGGAAGTTTTAACTCTTGTGCGTAATGGCGAGTTGTCCGTAAGGCGGCAGTTGAAAGACCTTTCGTAACAACTTGTGTTCTTTTCCACTTAAGAATTTTGATCCTATGCTTTTCGCGTTTGTAAGCCAACTCATGATCCGATGCCTTTATTCTTTACCGCTATTCCAGTATTCACGAGGGTTCTCTCTTTTTTCCCACACTGTCGATGACGTGAACTTAATTTCATTCATTCTCAGGACTTCAATCATAAAATTCTGCAAAACAAATAAATCATGACAGTTTGTTGATCCCTTGAGAATGTTTGGTTTGCTACAAGCAACTCTTTAAAAAAATGGAAGAATACTGAGCAATAATGACTTCAAGAAATGTTGTTTTCTTCCAAATTGTCTTACTGTATTTGTACTGTGAACTAACAGTGAAAGGTTTTAAGCCAGGAGTCATTTCATAAGTTGGTGGAATATGATTGTTTGGGTATGGAGTCCTGAATAGGACTGTTGTTGACAGTGACCGACATTTCGACAACCTGTGCGGTAGTCAACTTCAGAGTCAATTTGATGTTGTATCGCGACATTTGATGGTATTAAATAACACTTCTTAACCAAGTGAGGTCCTTAAAGGTATTTATGGTCAATTGACCATAACATGGACGCCCACTATCAAAGATTGTATATGCCTTGAACACCCAGCTAATAATGCCCAGTCATTACAAGGAAATCTTGCCTGCTCTGCCGCTGATCAGAGGGCGCATACTATTGTAGCCATATATTAAGCTCTGGTTATTGACCTGACCTGTCTGTCAGTTAAGCTGTAATGTATTAGTACTATAACATTTTGTCTTGTTTCTCCCTTAATGCATTTCACACACTTAAAATAAATATTACTTTAAATAAAAATTAAAATAGAAGGGGAAAGGGGGGATCTACATTTTGATCTACATTTCCAGTGAATACTTTTACAGAAACACAGATTCCATTAACATACCCTATCTTCTGGGGACTTTGTAGTTTTGTAACGTATACAACTCATCATGGCTTTTCTAAACACTGAGCAGTCCTGAAACTTTCCATATATATAATACTGATGAAACTGATTCCTGGAGGCTGATGAAAAGTATTATCAAAAAATTAATTTTACCAGTAATACTAATAATACCTACATAATAAACTGATAATAATAATAATAATAATCATCATCATCATCATCATCATCATCATCACCATCATTATTATCATCATTGGTTTACGGTCATTTCACCAACGAGTCGTTTCACCTACGTCCTGTTCGCTTATGTCTTAAATCATTTTGCTCACGTGTTAGGTTGTTTCGCTTATGTGGTTTTGCTTGATTACTACAAGTAGTCTAATGTTGTCATACCATGGAACACTTACATGCACAAAATCTCCATTTGTCAAAAAATTCCAGACACTTGGGTGCCTATAGAGGGAAATAAAAAAAGTATTAATTATTTTTACATTAGGCTATGAAATAATAACAATTGAAACTAAATTGCTAGCTCTCATATCATCAGTATGTGACTCCCCTAACCTAACTGTGGTCAATTCATTTTATCCATTCAGTTCATAAACCTCACTTGTCTAGACTATTGCATTGATTGTCTAGACTATAGGTGGTTTTCATGCAATCTCGGGAGACACAAATAACAATGGTGAAATGGACAAATGCTGGTGGACAAACAAAGCGAACTAATGAGCGATCTTTTGTTTACCGTCCACCAGCATGGCGGCGATGACGTAACGTGAAAACCACCTATTTGCAAACTCAATCTAAACAGCTTTGGCTTTACAGATTTTTTTGTCATGACTTATGTTTCGTAGTTTTTCCTGTTGTTTATTTCTCCCTTCTCCACTCGGAAACGAAGAAAATCATGCATCACAGGCCTGTACCCATTTCTACCCGGCTTCACCCCTACCCCCATCCCTATCCCTTACCCCCCACCCTCCCCCCCGCTCCCACCGCCAACCTTAACTTGACTGAAAGAAATAACAAGCGAGACCTGACTTGCATTCTGTTTCTTATCAATCAAAAAATGTATTTTTGCCTAATTTACTTTTGGAGCTTGGTGGAAATATTTCCCCGATCTGAAAAAAAGCAATCGCCATACGGGATCTATTTCTGATGTAATTACCGATGAATATTACCGAAGGGTTCTCTCGAACTATTTACCAGTCAGTCAGTGATAACATTTCAGAAAAGGCATGCCTTTAAAATATTACAGGATACGAATAACCTACCTTAAATTCAGAGGTCGTCACGTTGTCATTTTCAACGATATTCTGTTCTCCAAAAATACTCGATGTCATGATCGAGACTTCTATTTAACTCAACCTCGTCCCCAGGGTCTTCTCGCTTTCCAATATGGAAAGCGAGAAGACCCTGGGGACGAGGTTGGATTTAACTGTGCTCTGTGCTCAGAAGACTGGTTACGAACGACCGATTGGATTTCTGGGAGATTGTAAAATGATAGGAAAAATAGCTCAGCTGTTATTGGAAGCGAGGCTAACGGAGAGGAAACATGTCCGAACCAAGGCAATTGCAAATTCAGGTGGAAGGGCTCCAAAATCTAAAGGAAACGCTAGAGGAGCATAAAGGAAAGCAGATAGTTGTGATGTTTATCGGATCGATGTTAGAGGAAGGCGATCATATCGGGGAAAGTTGGTGCCCAGACTGCCGAGATGGTAAGCACAGTTCATGGAATTGAATGATTGATGGCTCGATAATCGATAATACGAGGAAGAGCCTTTTCAGTTTCAAAAGGTTTTGAAATATAGATCGTTGGTTGGACAAGGCTTGTTGATCTTAACCATATTTCTTCCTTACATCAGTTGGCAGTAATCACCAGGTTTCCCAGAGAATTACAGTTAAATTTCGATTTGTTTTTTTTTCTCCCTCAAAGTGAGACTACACCCACGTCTCACATTTTAACATGATCAGCTGTTTTTGTATCAAGTATTCATGTGCCGATGAAAAAGCCTTAATTTCCTTTGCCAGAATAATTTCGAGAGCCTGCATTATTTTTGCAGTTGTCCTATGAAACGATTAACTGTTATAAAGAAAAAAAAATATCCAGTATTCGAAATTACCACCCCTTAAATTTGTAAAATGCTGGTTGCAGGACTAATATATTTATTAAGCAATAGAAATTAAAACGGTTCTGTAAACATGTGAAGCCTACCCATGGGAGATGTTGGGAGAACACGAGATTAGCTTGTAAATCACGAGCTTAAGGCGAGCAATTTACAAGCTTTTTGAGTGTTCTCGTAACATCACAAGTGGGTTATCACGCTGGTAAACCCATAGAAAGTGTGGTCTATTGCTTTTATAAAATAACTTTAAGTTTTCCATGAGTTTACCAGCACAATAAACCATAGGTTTTTAGCCGATCAAAACGCGTGTGCGATCTTAGTTATTTTATAAATAAATATAGCAGGACTGATATATATAAATGTAGCTTTTTTCCCAGGTCCGTTAAAGAATGGAACGAACTTCCCGCAACAATTATTGAAGCTGCCAACACAGAGGCCTTCAAGCTTGCCTTGATGGCCCAGGCCAGGCCCCATTAAACATTTGAACGTTTGTTATTTTTATATCACCAGCACAAATTCACTGCATTGCAGCAGTGTTGGCTAGGGGCAAGAGTACTTTAACCAAATTTGGTCATAGGGTACTGGTGCTACTAAAACCTAGCCTGTGAATGCAAATATACTTCCGGTCATTGCTCTCTCTGCCCAAAAAGTAACGTACTCTACATACAGGAGCAGCCAAACTATTTCTGTGACAAAAACCTCATTGTCAACTATGATTTGGACATTAAGTATGAGCATAGGTCTTTCATGTTTTGAGTGTGAAGTTGCAAAAATGATTGTGATATTACAGTAACTGTATTTTTGCTCCTTAGCGGAACCAGTTGTAGAAGCCGCTTTGCAACAAGCATCAACAGACATGGTCTTTATTTTAGTTGTTGTTGGGGACAAGCCAACGTAAGTTCAAACTTTCTTTTCATCATTATTTTCATAGCATAGGTCGGCCATTATAGTGTGATGTCAAATGCATGATTTTTTTTATTGCTTGTAAATTTTAAGTCTTTGGATGAAGTCCTATTAAGTGTGACCATTCAAATGCATTCTCTCAGCATAAATTTTACTGGGTACAGTGTACTACATGTCTTTCTGTATGTTACAAGATGAAAGTGGAAATTTTCGTTGAATTTTGAGTTGGCCACCTCTACAGGGGCGTAGCTAGCGGGTGGCCCTAGGGTGCCCATGACTCCCCCCCCCCCCTTTTGTGAGATAAAAATTTTGTTTTATGTCCCTATAATTCAGGTGGCCAAAATGCACAAATCCAAAGAGTGAACTAGCCTGCGTAGCAAGCGTTTCCAATCGAGTTATTGTGCGAAAGTTAGAGCGGAAGCAAAAAAAAGGTTGAATGGGGAGGGGGAGGAGAGAAGAGAAAACGATTGCCCACAAACCCCACGATTCTGGAAAATGCCCCTTGATATTTCACGGTTCGGTTCATTTGTAAATTGACAGTTCGTCAAAATAGAAGTATAACAAACAGATTACCCCCGAATTACCAGATTTGTGAAATTACTTTGTTCTCTAATAGAACACGTTGCAGGCTATTGCAAGAACTGTAATAAAAAAGATTTACGATAAAAGAAAGTTAAAACTATGAGCGATTGCTGCGGAATTTCTTGTTTTTTATTGTGTGGCTTTATCTCGTCTGAAACCTTGTCAACATGTCAAAAATTATTTGTCCAGAACAATTCACTCCACCGGGTATAAGTTTTGCAGAGTGGCTGCTCTTCAGCCTGTGTCGAAACGTTCTCTACAATAGATGCCGCTAAATTTCCAATAAACAAAAAGAATCTTTTCATTTCAAAAAGCTGACAAATCGCTTGTCCATGGTGGCTTTAGCTAGTGTCAAGTACCGATGTTCTGATTTATGTTGATGTTATCTCCAACAAACAGTCGATTTTTTTCCAGTCAGATCCGCACGCTGTCATTCTCAATAAATTGGTCTTCCCTAGTCTCCACTGCTCAATCTCCAATTATACTTTGAAGACTCTGATCTCATAAACCTTAGCATAAACACGATTCAAATAAATATCAGTCTAAAGCATTAATCTGCGACCACAAATCAGATGAGACGTACCAGATCTGTGACGCACGAAAACAAAGCATACCTGGTTTGATTGATGTTTCGAATGCTAAGTAATCAACACTACCTGCACCGTGCCCATCAGAAGCTGCGTTCGTGGGCGAACGCAGTTTTTCAAAATTGTGGGGTTTGCGGGCAAGCGGTTCCTTCTTTCCCCTACCCCTCCCCCATCATTCATTTTTTTTTCAGTCTTGTCCCAGCTTTCTAGACGAACCTCACGAGGAAACGCTTGGTGTGCAGGCTAAGGATCAACATGCAATAAATCTTTTCCAGTGCTAGATAGTTACTTAATCCATTTGCAGGACCTAACATCTGCAGTGGACCATGTTCTTGTTTGTAACTAAAATAGAGTAATTTATTTATGCTATGTGGAACTTAATAATCTATGCAGGTATTTTGTAGGCTTGTCCCTCCCCCCATGCTCACTGCTCATCCCAAAAAAAGTCACTTTTAGTATAACATCGCGTAGATGTCAACATACCAATCTGGAAAGTACCCTGGGTGTGGCATAGTGTGACCCCCCCTCCCCCCCTTCTTTGAAAAATCCTAGCCGGGCTTCTGCTCTGGTAGTGAAAGCTGCAAACAATGTTTTAAAGACTGTCACCCTCATTTAGGGTTTACCTTGCTGTAAGAACCTGTGATCTGTTTTCTTGTTTCGCGCCTTTTATTTTCCTAGGTTATTGTAATAATTATTGTGCCGCCGTCTTTGTTTCCTTTGTTTTATATCACTCATGAGTTTCACAGGTCTTTACAACGAGGATGAGCCCTTAATGTAGCTGGGATAAACATGATAGAGTCAAGCTATTAACTTTTACGTCTAGAAACATTTTTGTTGTCCAACAGGTGGAAAGATCCCAATAATGAATTCAGAACAAGTCCAGTGTTCAAACTGAAAGAAATTCCCACAATTGTGGAGTATGGCACAGTAAGTTAATTTGAAAGCCATGAGTTCAAAAAAGAACAAAATAAATATGCAAAATTAATTGAGAATTGGTTTATGCTTAGTGTGTGTATACAAGTTATGGATGCATGTGGGAGGTTTGGAGTTACTTGAGGTGTTAAGCTGAGCGAGAGCAACTCTAGCTTCTTGTCAGAGTGTGTTAGGAAATTTTAAAGCTTCCTTGCCCAAAGCGTGGGTAAGGGTCCAAGCAAGTCATCTTCTGATTAAATCATTTATACCACTACATGAGAAATTTCTGCAAATTGATTGGCTTAGAGCTGTGGTATTTCAGCTTAATTTGAAGTACCTACATGAGAAAATTACAAAACTATTGCGGGTAGTAGTATAAAGAAATAATAGCATGATTTGTACATGATATTTGGCATAAATACCACTAGTGATATAATTTCAAATTTGTCTCAAATTTCCCTCGCCTAAAGGCTCGTGCAATTACGTATAACAATTTCGAAATATCACTCGTGGTACATTGTTGTATTTATGCCAAATCTCACGACAAATCATGCTATTACCTATACTAATTTAGGCAAGCAAAATGACAGAGCTGCTTGCCCATAGGACAAAATGAAATTCAAGTTTCTTTCAAGCCCTTGTTTTGTGTTGTCTAAAGGATTTCAACCATTGCTTTCTTGGTGTTACTGATCTCAGCACTGTCTTTGCTTCTTATGACACCAACACTGCACAGACAAGACACATCATCATTCGTTGTCTTTGTTGATATTATGATTAATTTTAGTTCAAATACATGTACTGCTTGGGTATACTAATTCTGTTCTTGATATTTCTTTCTTCCAGGATAAAAGACTTGGTTGTGACGAGTGCAAACAGCAAGATCTAGTCAACAATTTCTTTCCCAAATGAAATGGAAACTAAAAATCACAAGCAATTATCCGGCCCAAGAGAATCACGTAGTGAATTGACTGAAGTGATGTTACAGTAATGTTTTGATTGTGTGTGTGCCTTATTAGTTATGAGATACATTTGCATCAAACCTTGAATTCAGAACTTTCTTTGTTGTGTGCTTATAATATCCTGTACTTCAAAACAATCAAACTGTGGAATGTTGCGAGATTTCTGAGATGTATGCAGGGAGGGCAGGCCTACAGTCTGGATAGAGGCAACAGGAGGCCTAAGAAAAAAAAAATTGAAGTTTGTTTGTGTTCTCTATGAAAAAAGACTATAATATTATATTATGGCTACGATGGCAATTAACACATTATGAAATGGTAAAAGTCAACTCTTTCCTTGGGAACACCATGCCATAATGGGCACCCAGCTGATGGTTATGCTGGAGAGGAGCTACATGTAAATCCCTGCATACGATTGACTGCGATCAATTACTGCAGTGGACTCTCGTGGTCATAATAAAATTAAGGGAGTTGACTGTATATTTCGGATATGGAACTCTGACTCATTAGTTATAGTTGTCATTAGCAAAGGTGCCCCACAAGGTATTTTCATCAAATTAACTTGTCTTGAACACAATTTTTATTATGTGGATTTATGCATGTGAGGTAATGTGTACAAATTAATCCATGGACTGAATTTTATGATTTTCGAATTTGGTCAGTGTGTAAAAATATTAGTATAGGTAATAGCATGATTTGTAGTGATATTGGCATAAATACCACTAGTGATATTTTGAAATTGTTATAGGTAATGGCTCGTGAAATTTGAGACAATTTTGAAATATCACGAGTGGTATTTATGCCAAATATCATGTACAAATCATGCTGTTATTTGTTTATACTACTACCTACATAAGGTTTGTAATTTTCACATGTAGGTATTTCAAATTAAGCTGAAATACTACTGCTCTAAGCCAATCAAATTGCAGAAATTTCTCCTGTAGTATTATAACGGGTTGAATAAGTTTTGCCATTTCAGTTCTGTGAGGTTTAGAAAACATAATAATTGCTTCATTCCACAGTTTTTCAGTGTGTTTTGTAGTATTGACAAAGGTAAATGAATAACACCCCATTAATTTTAAGTTAGTTTATCGAGAAGGAAAAGGAATCACAATGTTAACAAGTGTGTTACTCACCTTTTAAGCAATACCAAAAAAAGGCTATTGGTCTTGAAAATTATTTATTTCACTCTCTCTCCACTATGGAAAAGTCAAAGGTAAATAGAAATACATTTAACCTCTGACAACTTATCCTGGCTGCTTGAATTCATGGTTTGGAATTATGACTAAATTCCAAATAAACTGTAGCTCATGATCATTAGGCTGACAGAGATATAAAGGTAAAATTGAAAATATTTAATAATAGGAACGTTGCCTTAATATATGTTGTTATTTTCTTGTTTTCTTTTTTGTTATTATTTTCTCAGGTGAGACTTTTATTGTGTACTTTTTATTTTTTTTTTTAATATAAAAATAAAAAAAAAAATAATATGATTATTATTGTTTCAGTTGCATTTTTGTGCTCTTTAACTTTTTTTTCTTGTGTCACCTTATAAAATCACGATAATAAATTACAAAGAATTTTTAAGAAAATGGCATAAATGCCTTAAGAAACCATGAGGCTTATTGAACATAAGCTTAATAAATATTTCTCTACTAAATGACAAAAAGAAGGCACTAAAATTAACATTGAATTGAATGATGAAGGCAGAGTAAAAATACCTGGTAATGAGGTATTAAAAAACCAAGAAAAAGTAAAAAAAAAACACAAAGAGCAAAGACAAAGAAAAGGAAAAAAGGTAGGGGGAAGAAGGGAAAGGAACTGGTAAAGTAGCTCACAATGGTTTGTAGCATTTTTTTTGACACTTGCACTTGTACATTCATCAACGAATTTTTCCCAGTAAACAGATCCAAAAATACCATAAAATCGGTGACTAAGTTATGAACATTTTTTTTTTTCAAAAAAATTGCAAATTACTGTAGCCTGCATTTCAGGCATATTTATACCTGCCAACTTTTTCTGAGATATAAGCGTGAGATTTTTATCCTGGGAGTGCTGGGATTTTTTAAGACGACACGATCATTTCCGAAGATTCCCGAAGAAGTCCGAAGTCTTCCGAAGACGTCCGAAGTCTGCCGAAGTCTGCCAAAGGCGAGCTCGCTCCCAGTGCTTTTCACTTCAAAAATCAGAGATCGCGAGGAAGCTATTGCCATTTATTCATTTTACACATGGTTTTCGTTCCTTACATGGGTCTGAGTTAACATATTTTTGGAAATTGTGTCAAGCAGGACGGCAACAACTCACATTTTTCAATCAGGCGTGAGAAATTGGCCCGCAGGCGTGAGCCGGCGTGAGATCGAAGTTTTCAACCCGCAGGCGTGAGACTCACGCCTAAGGCGTGAAAGTTGGCAGGTATACATATTACACTGCCTGTATACCAGTGGTTTAGACAATGTGCAAGGCCAGCTACATTGAAGGCAAAAATGACCATACAATGCTATATGACAAAACCTGTTGTATAATACACCCTTCATTTTGCCATTGATTCAATTTCAGTGACGTGACGACGTGACCCAAATTTTCGAGATTGAAGTATAACCTTTTCGTCAAAGTCTTAAAAATTCTAATTTTGTAGGTGAGAGCCACCTTAACAGTTTTCGAAATTTTAATTGGCACTCAGGCCGGTAAAAAGAGCTATATTTGACATGCGTTGATGTAAAAAAGAGGCAATGACTTGCTCTTTAATATGGGGCACTTTTGGAGGGAGCAACTATGGAGATGTCAAATAAGCCCCACCGATCCCTCCCTTGTTCCTTACCTCCTGACGAACCCAGCCCCCGTTGCGACTACCGCAAGGCCTTCTCTACATTTGGAGTCAGTCATCCGCGCCATTTTGCGCCAAATTTGTAATATCTAAGGGCTCAACATAATGGAAGAAGCTAACGACATGGATGCTCCTGAAGTGATCGAAAATTTGGAAGACCTGACGCTCACTAGCAGAGAGGGAGGATATGTAAGTGAACATTAAAAGAAGAATGAGGTTTCGTGCATATAGCAGAGATTTCGATGGATTTTAACTTATAAAGCACGTGCGTCTTGCGTCTGACTTCTTGTTGAAGGTTCCAAACAGATACACTGTCCCTTTAAGACAGGGAATTGACCTGCAAGACCTTATTACTGGTGATGGGACGATGTTTGAGACCGATCTTGATAACTATGGTGAGAAAAGTAATTGTGTTTTGCCTCCTACATGTACAGCTGCAGGTCGTTGGCTCGTTGATGGATTCTTTTCTTTGCCCCAGCTTCAGATAAACAGAAAAAAAATGTTAGAATTTTAGGAAAGCTCTTCGTTAATCAATACTACCCAGTGACACTAGAAAGTTTTCCATGTGCATTAGTATACCGGGCCAATGAACGGTTTGAAGAAGGTGGCATAGTGTATCGTCGAATTCCGTCCTTGGGCATACCCCGCGGGGCAGCTTTGTCTTTCCAGGTGGTGGGGGGCGGGGGTGGGAGGGAATTTCATTATCATAGTCTTCCTGGGGTGGAAAATTTGATCCATAGATAAATCACTATCCACCAGACAAGTCTCAGGGAAACCAATTGCGTTATCCTATCCACTGGATAGTGATTTATCCAGCGGATAGTGTTATCTAACTTTTTAACAGATGGGGCCAGTTCTTAATTTTTGGGGGTACCTTGCTCCCTTTCAGCTGAATTTGAAGATGAGGAAGAGTCACAATATTTTGATGCTGAGGATGTGTTTCAGCAACTGAATTATGAGTGCAATGATTTTGGAGGCGATTCTGGATCAGACAGAGATGAGGATGTGGTATGTGACTTCTAGCCAGTTGAAGCAGCATAGGAATAATAATATTATTTATTTTAAGGCTGGTTTTCACTAGTGACAGAGTTGGAGTCGTAATCAAGCATAGGACTTAACGAGTTAGTGAAACCAGCGCTCTGATTCCACCTATGACTCTGTCATTTATGATCAAGTTAAAACTACAGTAGGTTGTAGAAGTCGCAAGCAGAAGCAGAAGAACTAAACCAATCACAAATCATGGGAATGTACATTGTGAGGGGTTAATCCTTCCGCTCTTGCTTCCGACTCCTAACAATCTGGTTTTCACTAGATCATAAGTGGAGATGGAAGGAAATGGAAACATTCTGATTCTTCGTACACTGATTCCCTCGCACTCTTGACTGTGCTTACGACTCCAATTTTTTATTTCTGAGAGTCATAGGTGCTCTCATGACTCTGCTTACGATTCCAACTCTGACTCCGTCGCTAGTGAAAACCAGCCTTTAGTGACCTATGAAAACACATACAAAAAATGAATGAGTATAAATTATATAAAAACCAGGGTTTATATAAAAGATACATCAGTTCATACCAAAAAACTTCTTCACTGAATTGGTTTGACTCCTTCTTGCCTTATAAATAAAATAACTTAAATATTACAAATGCTCTGAGTGGCAGCATCTGTTGTGTTTTCAAGAGAGTCTTTTAAACACAGTTACAGGACCTTTGCAATGTGCTTGCTATTCATGAATTTTATCATGATTCAGAAAAAAAGTGTACCCTAAAACAAGGAAAATTTTTAGAAATTTTCAATGTGGCAGCTAAGCCTATGGTCATGGAAAACTTGGAAAGGTCATGAAAAAGTCATGGAAAGTCAAGGAATTTCAAGAGCTCAAAAGAGTACAAACCCTGATGGGAGATGGAAAATTTTGTTTAAGTAACATTTTAGCAAGAAAAATGCATATTTTGATAATGTGTTTTTGCAAAACAAGAATAGACCTTTTTGGCTTGTATGTTATGTTTTCCCATTTGATAGAAGTCTTTATAGAAGTCGTTATTAAGAAATCAGTCATGACATACGTGTGGCTTTACAATCAATAACAAGCTAAGCAAAGGTAAAAAGCCTATCATATGTATTACAACTCTGAAAAAGATTTAAGTTGAAAGATACTAAGAAGTAAATTTTTAAAGACACCTATTCACACTATCACCTTTGAATCACTCCTTTTTTACTCTAGGGAGTATGAAGTCATGACCCCTTTCTCTAAGAACCCTATTACATTTGGGTGGAAGCAAGTCATACAATACACAACCGGTGTCACTTGTGATCACGTTCCCTATTCTTAATTACATCAGATATAAGATTAAAATGATGAGATGTTATTAATTGTATAGCCAAAGCGATAGGCTCTCTGAAAAAAGGTGTCAATCTGATACTTCTAATCTGTACAGAAATAATGACATTTATCAAAGAGTCAAAGAGTTTACTGAGTTGATCTTTAGTGTACACATAATACTTGCTTACTCTAAGAATATGAAGTCGTCTAGCAGCTCTAGAGAGTAAACTGTCAATGTGAAGATCCCAATAATTACAAGGATGTTCATGGAAAGTAATTCCAAGGTTCAGCCACTCTTTCCACTCAATCCCAGGCAGTGGAGGAGGAGCAAGCTTATTAGTTCTACTACAGTACCGCTCAAAAGTAAGTTACCAGTCGCCTCTTGTTTCCTGTGCAACAAGAACCTGTCACATGCAATGCAATTCTCGTCGTGTGCTATGAGAATTGCACAGTGCGAGAATCATTGAAGCGGCAATTTTTGGCATAAATCATTGGTGACATGTCCAGTGAGAAACCAACTAAAAATTTTGCTTAGCGTTAGCCCAAAGACTGAGGAAAATGGGCATTAGATTTGGCATAAGTCTGTTCTTTATAGTTTTTTTAGTAGCATTTCCCACGTCTTTGACAAATTCAAAGACATCCTATTGTTGGCTGCCCAGCTCTTAAGATACTTAACTTTTGCAAGCTCTGTATCAGATTCCCTTCTAACAGGTACACTAATGGTGAAGTCATCGGCACATTTCGAGATCCGGTTGTTTGAATCAACCAGCTTTATATCATTCACCATCGGAGAGAATAAAAGTGGCCCAAGGACTGTGCCCTGAGGCACCCGTTTATTAATATCAACATAATCAGTTATTTTTCCATCCATGACGACCCTCTTTTTGCAGTTGCCAAGGAAGCTGATAATCCAGTTGATGATGTATGGATTGAGATTAGTAGACTTTGACTTTTCACAGTCTGCTATTAATTTTTTTGAGACCACATGCTGGTCGTAACCCACAGGACGTCTGTTTCTTTCAAATGTCTTCCAATCTGTATGCATCTAATAATTAGATGCAAACACAAAAGGAAAGTTCCTTTGAGACCATTGGGAATTAAACAAAACATAAGCTAAATTGGTCTATTCATTAACTGTCTTGCATAATGTCGTAAAGTGCATTTCAGGCTATGCAAAGAGAGAGAGTTTTCTCTTGCTTAACAAGGTAGTACCACCAAGTCAATTTATTGTTTTGTTATCTCTTTATTTTTATGCTAGACACCATTCAAACGACTAGCGCGTGGAATGGAGGATCTCACAGGAGATGGAGGAGTCTTGAAAAAAATTCTGAGACCTGGAACAGGGCCTGTGGTACCTAAGGGGGCAACTGTTAGATGTATGTATATCCGTATGAGCTGCACATGTATGATGAACAATCATGTAGTTTGTGGTGCAATTTAGGTTAAAACTATTTTGCTCAAACCTACGAGCAGTTTGATAATTCTCTATTTATCAGGGTTGTCATTAAAACGGGGGGCGGGGATTTTTGCTACTAAACCTACCAGCTACTTTTTTGAAAATAGAAGAAAAATTCCCTAGCCATTTGATTCCCCGCCTACTTGTTGTATTTGCCCGGCAACTTGAAATCTTAGTGACAACCCTGTATATAATCACTTTTAAAAGCTATTAAAGCATTTTATTCGCTTTTGTTTGTCACCATTTTTGAAAATTATACCAGAAGTTGAATGGTGAAACATTGGCCTCGTCATCTCACTTAAATTCCGGGTGCGTTGTATCTGGAAAACAGTGCTAAGTAGGCGAGCTGTGTTAACCTAGTGTCACACAGCAACGGTGTAAAGTGATATGCAACGCTTTCACATCTCAATCAATAAACTAGTTTTCAGATGACTTTAAAAACATGTCGAATGCACTCTCCTAAGCTCTGATTACTCCTAGTTTTATAGAAGGGGAAATACAGTGTATGTATGCAGTTTTGCCTCTTTGGGAACAAAAGACAGTAAAGCTACATGCAAACGGACACATCCCTGTTGATAGTGGAGTGCAAACCGATACAACAGCTCCCAACAATGCTGGGATCTGAAGTGCATCAAGGGAAGGATACAACCCATAAGACTTTGGAGCAGGGTGCAAAGAAAGCCAGTTTTACAGCCTGCCATTCCGGCAAGTGGTAGCTAGCATGTACTAGCCCACAAGTCATTTCAACTAGCCCCAAAACCCTTTTTGATTAGCAGGATTGATTACAATCCTTCTGTAAGTTGAATTTTCCCAAAAAACAGCACTTGCCCGTGGGGCAACTTGAGAACAAAAATCACTAGCCCGATAGCAAAATCCATTAGCCCCGGGCTATCGGACATGACTTTCTTTGCACGCTGCTTTGGAGACCATGTATAATGCACTTGTATGGCCCCAACAATAATGGAAGAGCTTGGCAAAAGGACACAACATTGTTGCTCTATGCTTCAGCAATCATGGAACAAAAGAAATGATGGGAGTTGTTGGCTCAAAAGTTTGATTGGTTTCAAACTTTGCACAACAATAACTCCCAACAACATGTAACAGGGTGGGCAAATGGACACAACATACTGGCAACAACGTTGGGAGTTGTTGGCCAACAATGTTTTGTCTGTCTGCAGGAGGTTTTATTGTCCTTTATAGAGATGCCCTGTTAATCATACAGGGTATAACTTAACCTTCTCTCATGGATACATGTACAATGCACCTCTTTGATACAGTTACATGGTGTCACCACACCTTAAAAATACTGACACTTCTATGGTTCCAAAGATACCCTCACATATTTTCTACTACTACATAACACAGACATCTCTATAATAATGGATAGTTGGGCCATCTCAAAATTTCGCTTTCTGCGTCTGGATGCCCACACTTTGGAAGCTAATATTTTACATCTGGATCAGAAGGCCACAAAGTGTATTGGGCATGACCTATAAATGGCTTGGTGGTAAGTTTTCGCTCTTTATAGCCAGACAGTGACCAGAAAACTGCTCAAGTAGCATAGCTTCAAAACATGTTTCATGTTTCATGCATCAAGGTTCAACTTGACATAATTAGCACTTCTTACAACTAGCTCGATTACTAGTCACTTGTTTTAACATGCTCTAAGCTAATTGTTTGTAATGATTTTCTTTCAGGGCATTCTAATGGTTATGTTGAATTTGATGACGAACCTTTTGACAGCACAAGGTTGCGAAACAGGCCCTATGTAACCAAAATAGGTAAAGCAGACTACAACCTCTTGGTATTGTTGTGTTGGATTTACCTAATTCAGAGCTTTAATATTTCATTTGTTCACTGTAATTTTTTTCTTGTGTAGTGGTTGTTGATTAAATATTATCCATAACTGATTATCACATCACTTAAGGCCTTCTGTAAATGATTAATCACCCATGATCATCAATACACTGCAGTTTAGCTTATGTAATGGATTTGAAATCTGAAGAAAACTTAAAAAACAAAAATCCTGGCCTTGTGCAAATCGTCCTGACCTCATACTAGAATCTTAACGTCTCTATAATAATTATAGAGACGTTAAGATTCTAGTATGAGGTCAGGACGACTTGTACAAGGGCGAGATTTTCATTTTTTTAAGTTTTCTTCAGATTTCAAATCTGAAGTGCATGTTCAATTATTGATGCCGCTTGCACCATGCGTGCTTTAAAATTCCATTTTCAGATGAAATTGTCCCAGGTATTTCAGTAGGGATCAGTACAATGAGAAAGGGAGAGTTGGCCCGTTTTCTTCTCACACCATACTATGGATTCCGAGAGCTTGGCTGCCCTCCGCGAGTCCCTCCAAATGTTCCAGGTTGGCATAATTTAAAAATGCTTAATGTTCAATTGTTTTTCTTGCTTTTTAATGTATAATTCTAATAATATTTTTGTAGGAACCTCTGGTAACAGTTCCAAAAAAAAAACAAAACTCTGAAATAGAAAATCTATGCCAAAGCAACATGGAAATTTTCCTGTGTGGCCCCCCTGAATGCACAAGAGAAAGATTTTGGGATAGTTTGAAAATTTCCAAATTTAGAATCCCACACAAATCCTTCTTGTGAGATATACTGCTACAAAATTAACAGGTTTTCTAATTTTAATATGCTCTTTCACTTCCATTCCTGGTAAAGACAGATAGCCCTTATGCATTTTTACATGTACCAGTGTACATCAGACAAGCAAATTTCACCCCCTAGCCGAATTTTGAAATTTTAAAGATGTAGAGTTATGCAAAGAATTTTTGCGAGGCTTGGTGGAGTAATAAAATTAGTATTTAATTTGCCTATCTAATGTAATCATGCATAATGGCCATTGTGTTTACAGAAAGTTGACCTCGAAACCAACTATTATAATTTCAAAGGGCCCATTTAGAAAAGTTTTGGAGGCGGCTGTTTGGTAGGAAGATAAAGCAGCTTAGTACATGTATATTGGCTTTTCATTGTAAAGCATTATGCATCATTAACATTCTAGTGCTATATGAAGTAGAGTTACTGAGCTACATAGATCACAAAGCTGCAGAGGACTATGATACCTTCACGGAGGTTAGTAAAACGGGGAAAAGTTAATGCAATTACCCGTCATGCATATGTTACAGGTCAAAATTATTTTCAGGTTAAAACTTTTTAACCTAGGTTGACTCTTGATTTCCTCTGTCTCCTAGCCCTCAATATTAATTTTCGTGAGTTAGGGCTAGGAAACAAAGGAAATTGACAATCAACCTAGGTTACAAAATTTTAACCTGAACATAATTTTGACCTGTAAAGGTCAGAACACATGAGGTGACAAGTTGCAGCAACAAGTCGCGGCAACAGAACGCTCTGTGTGTACATGTCGGGTGACAAGTTGCAGCAACAAGTCTTGGCAACAGATCACTCCATGTGTGCAGGTCGGGGAGCAAGTTGCAGCAACAAGTCTCAGCAACAGATCACTCTGTCTGTGCAGGTCAGGCGACAACTTGCAGCAACAAGTAATGGCGACAGATAATTCCGTGTGTGCAGGTTGGGCAACTAGTTGCAGCAACACATTGCTGCGAAACATCCCAGCAACAAATGGCTTCATGTGTACTCGAGAATTTTGGTAAAAAAATCTTTGTCTCTGCAACAGAATTTGTTGCCGCAACAAGTCGGACAAATTCTGTCTGATTTGATTTTTTGTGACATGTTGCCACGACATGTTGCTGCAACAAGTCACCTAGTGTGTACCAACCTTAACACATACAAAAAATATTCAAGTTTGAAGAAACCTTTCTGTGATAAACTTCTCCATATTGTTTCTTTTTTTAACTTCTATCTCAATGCTTGGAATTGTTTTTGTACTCATGTATGGAATGAGTCTGGCTTCCATCAGCCAAAAATTAATGTCTATCCCTACAATTTTTTTTATTGGGATAACTGGTACAGTTGGACAAGAGTTGAAGAACATGTACAGTTTCCAACATGTGGTCAACATTCCAGCAGTCATTTGCTTTGCCCAGAAACAACACAGCTGACACTTTAGACTAGTTATTTTGTCCTTCCTTTGGACATGTATGTGCTTCTTCTACAGTGTATATACAGTTACTTCCCTTGATTTGCATTTACGTACTTTGTTTTGCAGGAAGAACGAAAACAGGCATCTTTTGAACAGCTTTTGAGAGTGGCAAACTCAGAAAGAGAGGTAAAGTTAAAAGGCAGGTACAAAAGTCGGACCGGATCAACCCGGACCGCCAGTCCGGGTCGGATCAACTCGGATCGAATAAAAAAATAAAAATAAAATAAAATTGGACTCGGATCAACTCAGATTATTAAAAAAACAACAACTCGGATTATAAAAAGAAAAATAAAATCAGTCGGTATCACTTAACTTTCACCCGCTATTTTGTTTTTTTCTCGCGAACTCATGGTTGCGTAAATTAATTTTGTTTTTATTTTTACTAATTTTAATGATACACTAGTGAGCAACACACATAAATATCCAGTAAACATTTTCAACTTGGAAGGAGGAGAAACCATGCTTGCCTGGGACAAAGGAAATTTCCATGCCCCGGGCAAGAATCGAACTCGCGACCATCTCGGTTCAGTGGTTGGAACGTTCGATAAACCTGTAGTATTCGGAGCGTCGTGAGTTCAATTCTCGCCCGGGTACGAACATTTTCGTTGTCCCGGGCAAGCATGATTTCTCCTCCTTCCAAGTTGAAAATGTTCACTGGAAGTGTATGTGTGCTGCTCACTAGTGTATCATTAAAATTAATAAAAATAAAATTAAGTTATGCAACCACGAGTTCGTGAGAAAAAAACAAAATGGCGGGTGAAAGTTAAGTGATACAGACTGATTTTATTTTTCTTTTTATAGTCCGAGTTGCTTTTTTTTTCTTTTCATAATCCGAGTTGTCTTTTTTTTATGATGCGAGTTGATCCGAGTCCAATTTTATTTTATTTTTATTTTTTCATTCGATCCGAGTTAGTCCGAGTCGATCCGAGTTGATCCGGCCCGGACTGGCGGTCCGAGTTGATCCGGTCCGACTTTTGTACCTGCCTAAAGTTAAAAGAGTTACATTATCAGTGTGAGATGAAAATTAAGTTGTTGCTTATCTGTACAGTGTACAGTGTACACTACAGTAGCCCAGAGTGAAGTATGATCATTTCACCAACAAGTCATTAATCCCTAACGCCCTGTTCGCTAATGTGTTAGGACAGTTTTAACCACAGAAGGTGATATGTTTGACTTCTGTTGGGAATACTTGTTTTTTTTCATTATTATTCTAAGTCATCTGTACCACTGACTGAAAAAACATCTTTGTCATCATGTGTTTTGTATTAAAGTGGTTTTGCTAATGTATTGTAACAGTTGTGAGTCAGTTTGTGTGAATTAGAACCCAATTTTCATCAGTGGAGAAAGTTTCCCTCTCAAGAAGAATAACATCCTGTAATGTTTACTCACCTTGCTTGCTAAATTGATGCCTTATTTTGTTTACTTTGACATTTTTTCTTTTGTGCATTGAGGAACTTTTTTCTCATAGTGAAGACTTCAGCTGATACAGTTCTTTCTGAATTTTGGGTGATCTACTATGCATGATCTCTGAACATTTTAAAGTAGTCATCCACCACGTTTTTCTTGGCCTAACACTTTAGTGAAATGACCTAAGACGTTAGCGAACAGGAAGTTAGTGGGTGAAACGACCAGTCACTCCCCAGAGCAGTCATGCATTCCAACCAATTCCCTTTTTCAAAAGCATTGAATTTAACTCTGCAAATGTTACTTGCCAGTGGGACAACTTGTTATTTTAATAACAGGCTAGCCTGATTGGTCACTTTATTAACCCTAGGCTTGCGGACAGCAGTTTTGTGGCAACTTGATTGAGTACAGCATGTATCAAAGTCTCTCATCCTGTTCTGCAAGCTACATATAAAATTAAGTTGGAACCACAATATTTGTGTCGGCGTAAAAGGTCACAGAGAGTAGACCTACCTGTCGGATTTCACTTGTTGCATTTATCTTTTCTTTTGAAGGCTGGAAATGATTTCTACAAAAGGAAGCAAGTAAATAAAGCAATAAATAAATATCTAAAGGTAAGAGTTTAGCCATAAAACCCTGTTGCTGTCTAGCCTCTTCTGACCTTCACTGTTTATTTTTCTTCTCAGATTAATTTTGTTGTATAATTCAGACTTTTTGTGTTCAACCAGGCAATCAAAATACTAGAGGACTGTCACCTGCAGAATGCTGACCAGGAAAGATGGATGAATGAGGTTTTGCTGAAGATTTATCTCAATGCAGCTCACTGTTCCCTGGAGTTGGCACAACCAGCAAGAGCCATCAAATATGCACGGAAGGTACAAGACCTAACAAGTTTCCTCTCTGAATAAAGCACACTTTATAAAGAAAACTAAGGAAATTCGTGATGGGGCTAGATGCCTTCGTTTTGTTAGTTAGTTTGTTTGTGTGATTGACTGATTACACCATTCAACACTAAGTGCATAAACAATCCACTGACTGAGTAATAACAATAATAATATTATGTAATATTTAACAATTATTGATTGAGGCTGATTATCATCTGAAGAATTATGGAGATCAAGAAGGGTGTTATCCGCCATTTTTTTCTCACTACCAAAACAACTCAACCTCATCCCTGGGTCTTCTCGGTTAACAGTTCAATAATCTGCAACTTTGCTGCACTTTTGACGTCATTGGTTCAATTTGACAAAATTCTTCCAAATTTGGTCAACAGTAGCTGGTTATGATGTATTATGCGTGTGCTTTTAGCCAATCAGAAATGGAAAAATATTTTGAATGAATAATATCTCTTGTTCTGCAGTGGTTGAGAACTATGGTCTATGAGAATACATACCATGAAAATGATGTAATTTCAAAAATTTTCTCTGGCTCTCTTGCTTTGTTAAGAAACTTTGCTGTGAATGGACAGTTGAAATTTGTTATGTTATTGTAAAGAACAAAAATAATAATGCCAATGGAGGAAAACATTCCTATATTCTTTAAGTGTCCATTTTTGTATGACAATTGATGAGAACGGTAGAAAAGTTGATTATATTGTGTTGTGTAATAGGAATTTTGCAAAGCGGAAAAGTGATGAGTTGTGTCCTTCTTTCTCGAAGGAACCAGTTTTGTGTCAGATCGATATTCTTTATGCACCTTTTATGCACGATGATATTGTTGCTTTTAAAAAAACTCTGTTCTGATTTCAAATTTCCTGGCGAAGACTGTTCGGAAGATTGTTTAACAGCCACAATAATGCCAAAGGGATTGATGACTACATTTTTCTACTTTTTTTTTCTGACAGGCAATAGGAATTGATTCAAGAAATGCAAAAGCTCTATATAGAATGGGAAAGGTATCATTGTGACTCAGTTGTAAAAAGTAGAAAGATTTTAATTAACACAGTTACACAGTTAAGTTGTAAGCTAAAAGAAAACATGTCCCTCACACCAATTACATCAGCTCCAAACTGCGGATCAACGGTGCTTGAATTACAGTGTGTTTTTGACATAGATTGACTATGCAAAGATGTGATTCGATGAAGCAGAATTGAACTGTACGATCTGGCGCAGGGCTTTCCGCTTAAAACTGACTGAAGTTGGGTAAAGCTTTGTTTAATTTTCTTATTTTATTAGTGTGGCTAAATGTAATTTAGGCAAGGTTAATCTCGAGCTAATGCTGCCAGCGGTCTCGCCCAGTTTGCACATGATCTGTGGGGGCGCCCCTTTGGAGTTCGTAGGGGCAAACCACATACAGCCTTGCTCTCTAGCGATCGTTGCAATCAGTGCTTTTGTGAGCGAATCTTTGCGGATTCATTAGCCCCACCCTCCCTTCCCAGAGGGCTACTTGACTTCAGAGGTAAGTATCGGGTTAGGTATATATTTCCACTGGACTAGTTTCAGTGTGACGGTGCCTGTTAGCGGCTGCTACTGGGGTGGTTCCCGCTTGCTGGGTTGCCATGGAGACTTCCCTGCGGTGCCTGGATTACCTCGGGCCCTTCCCCGCTAACTTTTAAGGCACCAGTTCCCAAGCTCATCAATTGGTGATGAGTTTAAATATGTGTAAATGCAGTTAGAGTAATTATTGTGGTGCGAAAAAAAGTTTGATAGGTCTTAAGACTGGTCCGATCAAACATATTAATCTCGGACCTTAGTTTCAGTTTATTTACTTGCTCTGTTTAAACCTTAAATTTAAATACACTGATTCCAGAAAACAAACGGAAGTTGCGTGTAAGAGAGGTTTAATAGCCCTTGAACAAATCAAACTGTTGGACTAAGAGAACAAAAATATAAATAATTAATGGAAAACTTGAAGCTGCTTGTTGCAGGCAGTTATGAAGAAAACGATATGATTGGTCGCAAAGGTCGCCTCAGCTGCAAGCTGACCGAAGTAGACTGAATGGAAATGGTCCATCAGGTGGATTGTTCTGTCAGCGCACCCACAGAATGCAGCATTTGAGACCAAGTTTATTTGCAATTGGCTCTTACCCCTAATTATTTAGGGTGAGCTAGGAAAACTGATGCACATGTTTTTCGTTGTTTTGGCAGGCGTATATGAAGCAGGGCGAGTTTGACAGATCAAGAGAAATGTTCAAAAAGGCGCAACGCTATGAACCAAATAACAAAGCAATTAATGACGCCTTAAAGGATTTGGAGAAGTGAGAGTTTACTTGTATTGCAAGAAACTAGGAAATATTCAAGGTCCAACTTTTAAACAAAGAGCTACTTGAACTTGCTATAGACTTAAAGAGAAAGGATTGTATTGTCCTAGCGTTTGCGCTTCTATCGACCTCGTAGACAGGGGTGGTCTTGAAAAGGTGCTACAGTGATTATTTAGAGGGACATAGCAAGTCCATTTCTTCCATGCCTCTTGCCAATGCTAACCCTTTCGCTTCCAAAAGTGGCCGCAGTCAAAATTCAAACGATTTTCGTTTTGTAAAATGCTGAAAAACAAATGGTACCTTGTGAAAGTAGTTCCAAAGAAGTTTCATTTGAATGGTCACGATAGGATTTTGTCTATTTTTGATACTTGAAAGTTAGAAATGCAGGACTCCATCGTCCACTCTGGGAGTAAGAGGGTTAACGGTATATACTTTTGAATACTCGGCCGTGACTCAGGCTCAGTAATTGGGTTATTGGCGCCATCATACTTGTTGGCCGATGAGGAGCAAGGCATTCATTACTTCCCTAACTGTTTCGGTTAGAGTAAGTTGAAGTTTCATCATAAATTTGTTTTTAACGCGATGACTAGGAAACTTTGCAAACAACATCAGATGTCATTTGGCAATGATATCAGATATTTCGATTTTACTGCTGGTAAATATTTCTTACGATATTAGCGTGGACCCAACTGTTCAAAGAAAATCGTGTCAATCAAGAAATTTTGCTAGGGCCGTTTATTGATATAATTTATATGGCAGGTAAATTTCAGAGAGCCACCTTAAGACTGTAGTAGATGAGTACAGAAATTGTCTGAAAGGATAATCAAAGAAAATGATAAATAGTTTAGTGAGTCTTTTTTCGAAAGCGTCTAATATTTCACGAGCGAGCGCAACACTCGAAGAGAAATTTCGTATCTCCGCGAGGCCATGTAATATCCTCTATTTCTTTCACCAGGAAAGTGGAACAATTTCGTTCGTTAGAAAAAGAGAGATGCAAGAGAATGTTTGCCCAGCCAGCAGCTGCTACTAATCAAGGTATAATCCGTCAATACACTGTAACGAGTTTCCATGCTTATATGTCTAAAGGTACGGTCAGTAAAACCGGGGCAACAGAAACGTGCGACCTGTTTTGCAATATATTGGCAAAACGAGTTGATTAGCAATGTTGTCCGTTTTATTACCCACTAGTCAAACCTGTCGCCAAAAAATCAGGTTGTTGCAGGTTGCGCAAAGTTGTGGCGAAAGTAGAGAGTAGTTCTACTTTTCGCGACAACATCTGTACATGTTACGCGTGTTCCCGACCCACGACAAACTTGTTTTGCAACTATTCCTGCGTAAGTCAGCATTTATTTTTAAAATGAAAAGTTGTTGAAATCATGGGACGCCATACTTTCTTTCTCTTAGATACACGGAATGGTGAAAGGTCGCCTCTTGCTTCTGGGAACCTTTCAGATGAAAAGAAGGAAGTGCTTATGAAGCAGCTAAGGTTCGTCTCAGAATGCCACAGGTTCTACACAATTATTCTGTTTGTATGCTTTAAAATTCTACTACAATCTTATCGCAAATCCTAATTAGGCCATTTTGGATTTCTAAAATATCTTACTTTCAAAACTAAGTCAAGTGAAAAATACCGTGGGTATCAGAGGTTTTTTACACGCGAGCGGGTGGATGCTTCGAGCGGATGGATGCCTCGAGCGGGTGTCCGCGGCGACAGACTGGACCTGAACCAGAAATTGTACATGCAACGTTTCTGCCATCCAGGGACTGAGTGGAGTTCAATTCGGTCTGTAATCATTTACAGATATTAAAATATCTGTTTAATTACGGATATGATTACAGACCTATTTGAATATCATAACTATAAGAAAATATGTGATGTTTGAAGCTTTTTAAAAATTTAAACAGGAGATATTCCGGGAGTTTTCTTATAGCAGTGAAGAAAAAGACATATTCAAGTGCGCACCCGCGATGGCCTGTACTTTCCAATTGCTTAGGCATGACGCATACTGTCCTATTACACTGTCCTAATAATGCTGAAGTATGGACAGCCCAATCAGATTTGAGAATTTTGTTATAGTTATGATTATTAACGGAATGAAAGCACTATTTAATTCTATTTGCTGAGCACTATTCTGCTGGGATGCTGACAGTTTTGCCCCGCGATATTAACCAAGCGAACCTCCACTAACAGCCACCTCTCTACAAATGGCCACTTTTTGTGGGGCGGACAGTCCATACATTGACTCTTGTTTAAGTCTCTCTACAACGGCCACCTCTCTACAAATGGCCACTTTTTGGGAGGTGGACAGTCCATACATTGACTCTTGTTTAAGCCTCTCTACAACGGCCACCTCTCTACAAATGGCCACTTTTTGGGAGGTGGACAGTCCATACATTGACTCTTGTTTAAGCCTCTCTACAACGGCCACCTCTCTACAGATGGCCACTTTTTGGGAGGTGGACAGTCCATACACTGACTCTTGTTTAAGCCTCTCTACAATGGCCACCTCTCTACAGATGGCCACTTTTTGGGAGGTGGACAGTCCATACATTGACTCTTGTTTAAGCCTCTCTACAACGGCCACCTCTCTACAGATGGCCACTTTTTGGGGGCGGACAGTCCATACATTGACTCTTGTTTAAGCCTCTCTACCTCTCTACAGATGGCCACCGGACAGTCCATACAGATGGCCACTTTTTGGGGGGCGGACAGTCCATACATTGACTCTTGTTTAAGCCTCTCTACAACGGCCACCTCTCTACAAATGGCCACTTTTTGGGAGGTGGACAGTCCATACATTGACTCTTGTTTGTTTCTACAAGCCACCTCTCTACAAATGGCCTTTTTTGGGGGCGGACAGTCCATACATTGACTCTTGTTTAAGCCTCTCTACAGATGGCCACCTTTACAGATGGCCACTTTTTTGGGGCGGACAGACATTGACTCCCTCTCTACAACGGCCACCTCTCTACAGATGGCCACTTTTCGGGGGCGGACAGTCCATACATTGACTCTTGTTTAAGCCTCTCTACAACGGCCACCTCTCTACAGATGGCCACTTTTTGGGGCGGACAGTCCATACATTGACTCTTGTTTAAGCCTCTCTACAACGGCCACCTCTCTACAGATGGCCACTTTTTGGGGGTGGACAGTCCATACATTGACTCTTGTTTAAGTCTCTCTACAACGGCCACCTCTCTACAGATGGCCACTTTTTGGGGGCGGACAGTCCATACATTGACTCTTGTTTAAGCCTCTCTACAACGGCCACCTCTCTACAGATGGCCACTTTTTGGGGGCGGACAGTCCATACATTGACTCTTGTTTAAGCCTCTCTACAACGGCCACCTCTCTACAGATGGCCACTTTTTGGGGGCGGACAGTCCATACATTGACTCTTGTTTAGACCTCTCTAGCACGGCCACTTTCTTCTGTCCCCAATGTGGCTGTTGTGGAGAGGAAAAACTGTAATTCGAATGTACGAGCGAACAGCTCAAAAACGTGGGCAGGCAACTCGAACAAGCCAGCGAAGATGTCTTTTGAGCGATTTTGGACAGCTTAACATCCAGTCGTAGATAAATACGTCCTGACGCACATCATTGCTCTCAAACTGTCACTATTTCGAGCTCAGTCACTAGGAAACGATAACCGCATGGAATGATTATTCCTTGTTTAAAAATTTAAGTTGAAGCTGATAATAAATGAAGGTCATTTTGGCATTGTTCTAACTTAGGGAGTTTCAAGAGGACGACAGTAAGAAAGAAGTTTGTTTTCCTGCTACCCTAACTAAACAAGAAAGAGAATGTATCAAACTAGCTGCACAAGAGATGGGACTCAGAGTGGAGGACGGCAGAAAGCAGGTACATTGAATATAGAATGCTTAATGCCCTAGTTGAAATTAATAGTTGAGAGGGTCGAGGAGACACATTTACCTATATAGCTGATACAGTAGAGAACAACCCTTCTCTCCCCACCCCTGACCTCCTCGAGAGGTGTAAATGTTCCTGTCACTCCTATCCATAACTGAGTTCCTCAATCATGCGCAGAGGTGCAAATCTGCTTTTTGGTGGGTCACTGTATTTCTTCACCTGGCTGACGATTGGAGAACCAGGTGTCACTGCGTTTTCAGCCAGTACGCTCTTCTTCGTCCAGTTACCACCATCCAACTTGGTTACAAGCCCAGTTTCCCGCCGAACCGCAGTTTTTGGTGCTTTCCGCGCATGCTCGTGAAACTCTGTCATGCTGCCTTTATGCTAACCTTACTTACGCAATTTTCGTTTCCACTAGGTCTTGTAGATGAAAATCTGCCTTTTTCAAATTAATAACTTTAGCAGATAATGCTAACTTCATTTACTAACTTTGCAATAAAGCCATGATCTTTACTGCTCGAATGTGTGGTTCATATTCACCGACGACAGTAGCTGGATCATATAACATTGTGCACACATTTCTATCTTTCGATAAATGTTCGATGATAATGCATTGGGCTTGAGAAAAGCGCAGAATACTATTTTATCACGTTGGAAGCAAATGATCCGGTTCCTAAATTGTTCACTGCGATATTCGGTCAGCCATTAAACACTGCAATAGCTTAACTTGTTTCCTTTTTCACAGCTTAAACGCATTGCTGACAGATTCGCTTTGTTATTAGGGTGCGGACAAAGAACTGAAAGTGCTCAAAGAATAATTCAGACCGTGCTCCAGCTTGTGTTAAGTGAAGATATCGTTCACAACAGTGCCAACGTCCTAACTAAGGATACTTATCAGTGATGCTGCCAGTCCTGTGCGCTGATAGAAATCATTTAGTTTTTTTTTCGCTTTCAACTGCTGCGTTTAAACTAGTATGTTTCCAAATATATTTCCATTATTGAGTATCTTTCTTTTTTGACGATACCGAAATCAGCAAATGCAGTAATTCAAGTGAAAAGAAATTCCCCACTCTCTGAACTGTAAGGAGAATGGGTACAAGCTTTGGATGCAGTGGGATCGTTTAGGTGAACAAGCGTTAGTTATGATTGGTGGATGGTAATCAAGGCAACCATTAACCAATCATACCTACTTGTCCACCCAAACAATCTCAAAAACCGTTACGCCGAAAGCTTGTTCCCATTCCTCTTACAGTTTCTGGAGTGGGGAATTTCCTCTACCCAAAGAGGTTAAAAATTCCCAGGTTATTTGTTAACGCCCATTTTTCAACCAGTAGGCTACACTGGATTATTGTGTGCGTCACTTATATATCCCAAAATGCAGGATGTGTTGCTGTTTACCGTGATCGTTTGTTCTTTATCTATTTCATATATTTATGTGTAAATTATTAAGTCGAGATAACGGCCATCTGATTTGTAATGATCCTGTACGTGTAAGAAAAGAAAACGACGCTTGATGTAAGAAGAGTTAACTTTTTGTCTTGAAATCGGGAGTTAAATAACATGAAATTCTGAGAAAGGTTTGATCTATCAATTTTGTTATTCGAAAATAAGATTTGAAAGTTTTTCTTTTTTTGTATTAATTAAGATCTTTTTGAAATCGTTCTCTCAACAAAATATTAAAGTGTAAATGAAGGTAATAATTTATTTGAATAAATCATATGTTGTTATACTTTTGGTAACATGTCTTTTCAGTGTCGGTAGTAAATGTAGTTTCGCAATTACATCATTGGTTAGAGTATCTTGTGCTTCCTTTTCACCTAGCGTGCGAGGAAGCTTTCCTATTATTGCGAGAGAGCGAGCGTCGAGAAAACGCGCGAGAGAGCGCCCTTCGCACTCGCGTCTCGCGGCCCAAGCGTGACTTCTTGCGACTTCCCCAAATGGAAGAGGTGGCTCGCAGGCTACATTCCACCCTGCTAGCAGAGGTTTCTTGTAGTATAGGGGCGGGGCCCTCTTGAGAGAGGTTACCCGGAATAATACCTACAATTTGGGGGAGTTTAACTTTTCCGGCTAAAATCTTAACGTCTTAACAGCTAAAAACATAACATCAAGTTTAGGTAAATTTAGCAACAAAACGTCGATAAATTGAGATTTGAGTTTTAGAATAATTTCCTTGAAATTATTGAACTCTGACGGTAGAATTCCTCATTTTCTAAAACGTTTTTTTTTTGTGGCTTTTTAGGTGTTGACATTTTTGCCGGGAAAATTTAAGCTATTGCTCCTCTAGGGATTTCGCCCAGAAGGAGATTTCGCGAGCAGGCATCATTGTAGTTGACCCGTATACCGTAAATCCTCTTTTAAGCCCCCCCAGTGGGGCCTCTTTATTTCAAACACATTTGAGAGGGGGCTTAATTGAAACGGGGAGCTTATTTAATGTAGCAAAGATGATGGTATCAGTTCCCCATAAAGAACTAGAATGCAGAGTGGAAAAGTTCAAGGACAATCGAAAACAAATCCGAAATTCCAGCTGGTGAATAAACCGTCCCAGATCAGTTCACACAAAGTTTTACAGTTTTACAGTCTATCACTTGTGAAAGGTTTGAACCCAGGAGTCAAAAACCAGATCAATCACCAGAGTATAATACCATCAACTGACGTGATACAACTCACTTTGACTCTGAAGATGACTACCGCACAGGCTGTCGAAACGTCTGTCAGGACTACGTTCACCCGGACGATCAAACTCAACCAACTTTTGAGAGAGGGCCGGGGGAGCTTAAAAGAGAGGGCGGGCTTATACAGGATAAGCTTAAAGCTTAAACGTAACATCATTATATTGTATACTGGAGGGATTATTTTCTTTATATGTAACGAAGCCACCCTTTTATATAGAACCGAAGCCGTCCTTTATTTTATACCGCTGAAAAATAAGCATTTAGAAAACGGAAAAATACGCCTCAGAGAAAAACGATTAAAAATTACGTAAAAAGAGTTTTTTGACTTTTCGAAACGCCAACCTCAGGCAGGTTGTAAAAGGGCACAACTTGCCGTTTTCGAAAAAAAGAACAATCGGCTACTCAGCTAAATAGCAGACTTTTTCTAAAAAGAAAGGAGACAGGGGGTAGCAAATTGAGGGAGCTGCAATTCCTTTATTGTCTTCAGCTGCGTAAGCGTTCAGCTCTAATGTCATAACAAATTATATTGTACTGACTCAGGAGCTCCGACTGGCTTCCTTAGTCTAAATGAAAGCCGGTTATTACAAGAACAAAAACATTTCAACAGATAATTTTTTGAGGTTAACAAGAATGCACTGCTATCGACATTTTTATCGTATTTAACAATTTTTAATTGTTACTCTCATCGATCATCAGCAGTAAAAACTGTAAGTCGTCATCATCATTATAATTATCCTCATTATCACCATCATAATTATCATAATTATCATCATCATCGTCATCACAGTTTTCCTCATCAACATCATCGTCATCATAATCACCATCCTGATCGTCACCGTAATCAGGGAGAGTGAAGTCATCTTGAAATCCTTCGTAATCTTCATTATCATTATCGTCGCTTCCGTCATCAAAACCATGAGCTCTTTCGAAATGAATTTCGGAAGGTGATTGATCGAACTCCAATTCACTGTTATCGAGTTCAGGAATGTTGTAGTTGAGGACCCTCTCCAACTGTCTTGAAATGAGAATCAATTCTTCCTGGATTTCAATCGCAGAGAGGTGTTTGGACGGCGTCAGCCTTGAATCCTTTTCAGGACAGTTTTCATGATCTTCACACTTCCTCCGAGTTTCCATCATCCCCTCGTGATACAGACGGTGGTTTTTCTTTAAGGGCATCGCGTCTCCATGAATTAAAAACGTCAGGAGAAACAGAACTCTCATTTTTCCGTTCATCGTCTAATGAAATGATAAAAGCCAAGAAATTGGTTTACATCATTATCTTTGGCAAAATAAAAACTGTAGTTTCAGTGAGATAAGTATAAATGTTACTGACCAATTACCAAACCTCTACAAGGCAACAACTACTTGCACTTTGAAGAGAAGAGAGAAATATTTTTAAGACCTGCCTGACAGCCAAGGACTACACCTAATTTACAGCCTTGTTAGCGCACTTTTTATATTCAGTAACAATTCAAATCTTAGAATCATTTTCGTTTTGATTGATTACTTTATTTCTGCCAGACATTGTGTAAAGGTAACGGACGTGTCTAGGAGCCCGAAATGATGGAAAACAACAACTAAGGGCGATAGTAGTTGGCGATTTGTGTACTTTAGAACTGGGGCAGCAGCCGACGAATTAAATGATACCCTTATGGCGTGTCCAGTTTCACTCGCCTTTTTGTACAGGCTAACATATTACACTGATTTTTTTTCTCTACCATCAAGTTTTCATTCGTGATCACTAAACGATGTTCCCAAAATATTTTAGTCTGTTAATGCATTAAAGAACAACTTTTTCTTCACTGGTGTCATTTGCCGGCTATCTCTTAAATATGGTAGTTCTCAAAAATAACATACTTGCTAATTTTTTGTTTACAGTTTTGATGGAAACTGAAACACTATGCAGACGTGTCGTAAGTCCGTTATGTCCATAATGTCCGGCGTAATGCCTTTATTGCCCATAAGTAAGATAAATGATAATTCTGAAGGCTCTGTGCAAAATACTGTATGATTCAGTTCGTAAACAAAGAGACGTTGGTAGCGTTGTTCGTCATTGGATCAGCTTATTTTTTTTCCATTGACATGATATGAAATTGAAGCGCGACCTTTTACGTCAGAAAAAATACGCGTAACCTGTTGTTTCTCTCGATGCAAAAAGTCACGTGTCATTTTCTCGATGCTAGTCACGGCTAGGCTCGATTACCAGCCGCTGTTTTGGAAATGAGCCCGCGCTGCTAAACGTAATGCGTCAGAAGCGGCACCTTGTGTGTGGAAAATTTTTCCTTCCATGAAAGAAATCACGCTTTATTTTCTTCGACAAAACAGGTTACGTTTCATGCCAAAATGACAGCGTGAAATGGCAAGTGCACAACAGATATGAAAACTGTGAACACGTACAGAGAGCTATTTTTTAATATTATTATGTTGTAAAGTAATTTCAAAAGATCTATTCAAAATCTTAACTACGAAAATTGGTCGGCCCGGGGACCAAACGTTTTGCGACGCCGCGGCCACAGATATGCCCAGAAATGCACGCAACAACGAAAATGGCAAATCTGGCGAAAATTCGCATAGCTTTGGCGAAAACTATTTAAAGGAGATTTCCAAAAGGGCCCCTTAAAAAATTCTTACCAGATTTGCCATTTTTGCCGTTGCGTGCATTTCTGGACATGAGTTGAGAATCGCTGTCATGGTGCAAAAACAGAATTTCATTTCATAAGTCTAGTTTATCGTGGTCAACCGCAGTTAAACCAAATATGGTTAACGTGTTGTCTGTTGCTGTAGTATTGCATTTCTTTGGTCAAGCGTTGTCCGATCCTTCGGTGAGCAACCTGGTCCGGTACAGTAAAAAAAACTGAAAACACAGTAACGATTTTTCTAAACCACCCTTTTTTTTCGCGATCGTTAACTCTTCGCCTGATTCTTCCTGATATTTGAAAAGGAATTTAAACTGCTTCGCCAAATCGTTTCCTTCAGTTCGCAATAACATAATTTGAACAGCATTTTGAAGATTTTTATAGGACCTTGGTCGATGAACACCGCACAATGACTTTCATATTTTTCTTTTTCATTATCTAACAAGCATTGCAATGGCCAAGTTAACTAATCATGTATCCATCATAAAAGAAAAAAAAGAGAAAAAAAGAATCTTTATTCATATGTCAGTCAGAAAAAATAATTACTTTGTGTTTTTAATACTTACCAAATGAAAATGGATACGAACTCTTGA